TTTTGGATTTTTTTTTTCTTTTCTGATAGACAGGTTTAATGATACATTGCTCTTCACACAGATGGCTACAAAGACTTTAAACTATAATCCAGGAATTTGCAACCATACAACACAGGCCAATTAGCCATCTGAAATACACTGTCTTCTTACAACTATCCTGTAAATTTAGCAGCCCTTCTTACATCCAGAATCACCCTAATCTCACATCAAAGCAGTCATTGTAAGGGAACCAGAAATCTAACTTTGCTGCCAAAAGAAAGAACCCAAAGAGAATTAGTGATTCAGTGGTTAGTAGGTAAAGGTAGGAAATCCACCGACCTCTACTGTGCTGCTTTGCAATTCTGCAGTACTTTTTGTCCCTGTTCTTCAGGTCTTCCACATTAGCTTTCCACAGCTTTGAGTAAGCCACCTGAAACTTCCTTCTCTGGAGCTCACCACAGTGCTGAGCTTTCCCCCCTCAGTAGCTTTTAACAGACTATATTGCCTGAGGATTCAAACCACAGACCCCTCCCTTGGAATGAGTTTTTGTTTGACCAAAATCAAGGAAAGACAAAGAATCTTGGGGGGGAGGGGGTGAGAAGGGTGGAGGGAGAGTCACTTAGTTTAATTTAGAGGGACTATCAAAGGTAAGCACTTTTGGATCCAGGTGATAGCATCATTCAATTTTCTAACATTAAACATTCCGTTTTAATAAGAAATTCAACATTGGGAAAAATAATGATCAGAAGAAACGTATTCTTTATATATAAAGCAAAAATTCCTAGCATCCATTAAAAATAAACAAATATATTGTAAAACAAAACAAATCACTGATAGTAGAATACCCTGGGTTTGTAACAACCATAAGTTTTAATTTTGTGTACTTAAGAGCTCCCTTTAATGCTTAACTTGCTGAGAATTTTATCTTGAATAGGTGCTAAATTTTGTCAGATGCTTTTCCTGCAGCTAATTGTAATATTTAGTCAATTTACATTTATTATAATATTGATATGTTTAAATTTAGGGTATCATTTTACTTTTTGTTCCTTCTGATTTTTGTTTTTTTCCTAATGTATTGCTTTCCCTATGGCTAACCAGTAATTTTTAGTGAATGCTAAAACCTGTTCTATCAAACTGTTCTCTATTTTAAGATATTTTTAAATACAGAAAAATTTCTCTACCTTTCTGTATTTTAAAATTCCTTTATGACCTTTTAAATTTTACCTTAAAAAATATTTTTAAGTAGTTGCTCCAGGAATAATAATATGTATTTTTACTTTATCAGTCTACTAAAAGTTTATGTTGTAGTTCTTCCTGTAAAATGAAAGAACCTTGCAGCAGTATTACATTTACACTTTCTCATCCTTTATACTATTATTTTAATATAATTAACATTTAATATGTTGTAAACTCCATAATGCAGTGGTATATATTTTTTTGCATGAATAATCACTTGTCTTAAAAAATTAAAAAGAAAAAATTTAGACTTCTTACTTTACCCTCATACTTATGATTCCTGGTGTTTTTCCTCCTTTGTTACAGATCTAATTTTCCATCTGGTATCATTTCTCTCTAGCTAAAAAAAGGGTTAGCATTTCTTATCTGTCCATTCTGTAGCATATTTACTCAATGTTTGATCATCTTAACAGTGTCTTCAATTTTGTCTCCAGTTTTGAAGGATATTTTTTTCTGGATGTAGAATTGTAGTATATAGGTTGTATTTTATCTTATAGCACTTTGAAGAAATCGTTGTCTTTTTGCCTCCGTTATTACCAATGAAAATGTCAGTATCATTTATGTCATGTTTCCCTGTATATGATGTACCACTTTTCTCAGGATGCTTTCCAGATTTTCCTTTTATCTTTGATTCTTAGCAATTCGACACTGATTAGTTACTGTGGGCTTTCTTTTATTTTATTTATACTGAGTAAAGTTCACTGAGGTATTTGTTTTTGTTTTACGGGATAGCCATTTATTCAACTTCATCCTCTTTTTTAAAAGTTATTTTATTTTTTAATGAAGCACCATTTCCTTACATCCTTGTTGATTTCTCCGCTCTGGAGAGGTTCCTGTCCTTCTCCTACCGCCAAAGCACCTATACTCCATGGCCATAGTCCACTGTGCTCTTCCCTCCCTAGCCTTCTCCTTCCCTTTCTTCTGCGCCTCTTTCTCTCCTCTACTGGATGCCTCAGATCTGGGGTCAAGTTTTCAGGGTTTGTCCTTGTCTGAACCACTAAGATACTTGGATCTGAGTTTGTTTTTCACCAAATTTTGGAAAATTTCAACAATTATTTCCCTTAATATTTTTTTCTCTGTCCTAGTCTCTTTCTACTCATTGTCTATGAATCAGGTTACATGCCTGATGTTGCCAAGAGGTTCCTTCCTACAATTTTCCCTCTTCTGTAGCCCAATCTTTTGTTTTTCAGATTGGGTGTTATTTTGATTTCAAGTTCACTGACTTTCATGCCGTCTTGACTCTATTATTAAGTCCAGTAATTTAAAATATTTTTATATTGAACTACCTAATTCTTTAATTCCTTTTTGTAGTTTCTATTTGCTGCCAATATTTCATACCTGTTCACTGTATCTAACATATTTATAACAACTGTGTTAACATCCTCGTTAGTTAATCTCAACATCTAGATCATCCTATGGTAGTCCCTATTGACAACTTTTTTTCCTTATCTTGAGTTACAATTTCTAACTTCTTTGTTTAGTAATTTTTATTATATATTGGATATTGTGGATTGTTATCTTTTTCTGATTGTTATACTAGTAGGTAGCTTAATTACTGATTGTTAAATATATATTTCCCATGCAACTCAGCAATTGAATTTCTGGATATTTATCCTAGAAAAATAAAATAAATTAAAAACTAAAAAAAAAAACTAAATTCATATATAAACCTGTACATAAATTCTCATAGTGGCTTTATCAATACTACCCACAAAACTGAAAACAACCCAGATGTATTTCAGCAGGTTAATGATGAACTCAAACAAACAACAAAAAAACTACAGTATCTCCATACCATGGAAAAATAAAAAAGAATTGAACTATTGATATATGTAACAAAGTGGATGGATTGCAGAGTCATTATTCTGAATGAAAAAAGTCAATCCAAAATGTTTCCATACGGTGTAACTTAAATGTAAGAAGCATTCTCAAAGTGACAAAGTTATCAAAATAGATAACTAGTTACCAGCTGTTAAGGAAAGGGGTGGAGATGTGATTATAAATAGCAGAGGGGAATGTCAGTTGTGATGTGGTTATGTGAATCTATGCACATTCTAAGATGTCACAGAATTATAAACAAAGATATACCCAAAAAATGTGTGCTTGAAAAAAATTGGCAAAACCCAAGTAAGGCGTATAGCCTAGATAATTGTATTATGTCTGTCTCTTTCTTGGTTTTGGTAACACTCTATAGTTACATAAGATGTCACCATTATGGTAGGTAAGTGATACATACATGGGATATCTCTATACTGGTTTTACAGCTTCTTGTGAAGTTGTGAGGGTGTAATTATTTTAAAAGAAAATTACTGATCAGTTATTTTTACCTGGGTTTTTGTACTTTGTTATATCAGATGTATTTCATTTTTGCCCCTAGCCTTAGGAAAATCTTTAGTCCTGGGATATAGCTTATTTCTGAGATGTGGGCCTGCTAGGGTTTCTAAGAGAAGCCTGTTGTGTTCACCAAGCCCTTTTAACTTGGCAGAATGAAAAATCCAAACTATGTCTTTCCTGTGGTAGGCAGCAGCTGAAATCACTGTTGTTTTAGCCTTTCAGCTGTTGTCTTCTCGGTACTTGGTGCCTTCCTGTTCAGGGATCAGCCAGGTATTTGAGTAACATTTGTACACTGATTTGAGGATCCCCCTTCTTCCTGTGCCATCCTTACTTCCATGGTTTCCCCCTTCTATATAGCTTTCTGTCAGCTCTGAACTATACCCTTTAGTACCTCAAACATTGATAAGATTGGTTTTCTCCTTAAGGTCTAGCTTCTTAGTTAAGAGGTGTCCAGAGGAGAGTTCTCTTAGGGCACGTCTTTTTTTTTTTAATTGATGAATTTATTTTTAAAAAATTATTTATTTTAGTAAAAGAACTAGGATATAGGCCAGAAATGCAGGGAGGATGGGAGTGAGAGGATTCATCAGAGATAGAGTGGGAGCAAAACAGGTGGATTTACTGAAATACACTGCTGAGGGGGTCTGCAGGCGAGACAGGAGAGGTCTGCCGCGCCATTTGGGTTGCTCCCTGGCTGGGGATCGAACTCAGTCATTGTGGTGACAGTGCTGAGACTTAACCCCTAGGCCACCAGGAAGACCCAGGGCAGCTCTTTTAAATGTAGCTGTCATCCAGGATGGCTCTTTTCCTTCAGTGATCAAATTCCCTACATTTCTGCCACCTTCTAACCACTTTTTTAATGTCTGAACAGTTATTTTTTTGTTTTGTCCAGTGTTGATGATTGTTATCTGTGAGCAATACCAGACTATACAGTACAATACCAGACTATGCAGATGGTCTATCATGACTGGTATCAGAAATCAGTGAACTTTATTTTTAAGTATTGTCACTGAAATATTTGTCTATTTTTTCAATAAAAATTTGAAAGTAAAATATAGTAACATATTGTAGTGAGGAGTATTATGTAAATCAAAGAAAGATTGAAATGTAAGCCCTGTAAAGTCAGAACTTATAAGTAGAAAAAAAGAAAAACATACAAACATAACCAGAAACAATTTTCAAATGGTATATAAATGGGTCTTTCAGAAGATTAAGGACAAATGTCATTATATATTAACCAAGCAACACTCTTAAATAGGAATTACACACTGAATCACCAAAAGGATCCCACTGTCACATCAAATCTTCACCCATTGTCTTTTGGGAATACTTTTCTATGTGGTCTTAAAAGTTGTATTTTATTTCTTTATGTAGAATTTTGGTATTTTTATCATTTCATAGATAGTGAAATGATAGTCTAACTTTTGTTTTTTTTTTCTTTTCCTTTGTTTCAGTTATTTGCATAATTATCCTTAAATGAAGTGAGGGTAAAGACACTTAGCATCATCTCTGGAAAACATCATTACCCCATTCGCTTGGAAGCTACCCTCCTGAGCACTAAATTTCACCGTATTTGTTTTGTGGACTCATTATGAACAAAGCCGTCTCCCAGGTAGGAATTGTAGCTCTATTTTATTTTATTTTATTTTTTTAAAGATATATTTATTTATTTATACAAGAACCGGGGTATAGGCCAGATGCGCGGGAGGGTGAGAGGATTCACCAGAGACAGAGCGGAGAACAGAACAGGCAGACTGATGAAATACACTGCTGAGGGGAGCAGTGGGCACGACAGGAGAGGTCTGCCACGCCATGTGGGACCCTCACTGGCCGGCCGGGATTAAACTGACGCTGCAAAAGCTGCGGACAGCTTCACAGTGTGGTGCTCAACTGCCTGCGCCACCAGGGGAGGCCCTGTAGCTCTGTTTTAAAAGAGCTTTGTCTTTACAAAAGCATAGAAAAAAAATAATTACCTGTTGGCTATTTTTTATTTAAATATGTGTTTTATCAGAAAAACTTACTATAAAACATGTTGACATTCCTAAATAAAAATTTAGGAATGTTCTAGATTCACTTTTTTTGAAATATTTTTTTTAAGATTTATTTATTTATGCATATCAGAGCTGGAGTGTAGGGCAGAAGTGGGAGAGGGGTGAGAGGATTCACCAGAGAGAGAGTGGGGAGCAGAACAGACAGATTGACTGAAGTACACAGCTGAGGGGAGCAGCTGGTGAGACAGGAGAGGTCTGCTGCACCACATGGGTTAGCTTCCTGGCCAGGGATCGAACTTGTGCTGCAGTGGCTATGGATAGCTTCATAGTGCTGAGACTTAATTAATCCCCTGCGCCCCCAGGGAGGCACTAGATTTCACTTTTTAAACCACTTTTATATATGTTGAAATTAATAGGGACTTCAGATTTAAATCCTGTAGTAAGACCCTCAAATCCTTACTGAATAAAAATGGCAGCAGGAAAACTACATTGAGCCATCCCCAGATGGTGACCCCTGGATATGTATTTCTTACATATATCCAGACATTAATTCTCCATGTATATTTTTTTTCCAGTGCCCATTTTATATATTTGGGCATTTTTACATTGCTGTTTTCCAAGATTTTGTAAGCCAAGGGAAAAAAACTGGTTTATCCATGAACAATGCAGTGTTCATAGCAGCCTGCCTTTCTTCCAAACTCATTTTTTCCATTTAGAAAAATTCAATGCAAAGAATCTTCTCAATCTGTCAGATAAATTTTTAGTGGGAAACAAATTTACTAAGTACTTTGAGAATTTACCAAGTCCTTGATGTCTTTATGACTAGCATAATAATTTTAAAAGACTTTGCACAGGATTTCATTTTTTTTTTAGGATTTAATTTTAACAAAAAAAAAACCACTTTAAGATAGATCTGATATTTTATAGAATCAATGAAATAAGATAAAATAATGCCTTTGATTTTATAAGAACTCATTGCTTGAAATACATTTCTTTGCCTTTGCTTTTATCCCTGGACTTAGTGGCTCAGACATTGACAGATTTTTTTTTTTTTTTTTTTTTTTTTTTTTTTTGTGGGACCCTCGCCCGGTGGCTGGGGATCGAACCGGTGCTGCAGAGGCTGCGGGCAGCCTCGCAACCCAGTGCTCAACTGCTGAGCCAGCAGGGGAGACCCTATTGACAGATTGTTTAAGAGAGATTTGTGGGGGCAGGAGCTCTCTGGTTTCGGGATAATCACCATGCAAGTTTTGGTCCCTGGCTTTGTAGGTTCAGAGAGAATTTTTGTTTCTGCATGTTTAAAGAAATGCTTTTCGTCATTAGCTTCAAAGTATCTGGATTTTAACAAAAAAATAGGAGGCATTCAAGGAAACAAAATACTGTCCATTGCACAAGAAAAATACAATCAATAGAAACTGCTTTTAAGAAAGCCTAGGCAGGGGGGCCTCCCCTGGTGGCGCAGCGATTGAGTGCTGGGCTGAGAAGCTGCCCCTGCAGCGCTGGTTCCATCTCCAGCTGCTCCCCGGCCACAGGAGGAGGGTTCCACATGGCGCGCAAACCTCTCCTGCCGCCCGCTGCTCCCCTCAGCAGTGTACTTTGGTCCTTCTGCCTGTAGTGCTCCCCGCTCTGGCTCTGGTGAATTCCCTCACCCTCCCACGCTTCTTGACTGTACCCAGTGCTTGTAGAAATAAATAAATAAATCTTTAAAAAAAAAAAAAGCTAGGCATTGTACTTATTAAAAAAGGAAAAGTAGATAAGTTATATTTCATCAAAATTAAAAACTTTTCTTTTCAAAAGACACTGTAAAGGGCCTCCCTGGTGGCGCAAGGGGTTAAACACCACACTATGAAGCAATCTGAAGCCTCTGCAGCACGAGTTCAATCCCCAGCCCACCAGGGAGCAACTCACATTGCATAGCAAACCTCTCCTGTCCTGCCCGTTGCTCCCGTCAGCAGGGTATTTCAGTTAGTCTGCCTGTTCTGTTGCCCACTCTGCCTCTGGTGATTCTCTCCACCCCCACCACCCCTAATCTCTGGCCTGTGCCCCAGCTCTTGTATGCATAAATAAATAAATCTTTAAAAAAAAATAGACACTGTAAAGAAAGTGAAAAAATAACACAGTGGAAGAAAATGTTTGCAAATCATATATCTGATAGGGGTCTAGTATCCAAATATATGGATGACTCAGTAATAAAAACATAAGTAACCCAACTGAAAAAAAAAAAATCTGAACAAAAAACCTGAATAAACATTTCTGCTAAGAAGATCTAAAAATGATCAATAAGCACATAAAAAAGATGCCCAGTGTCATTAGCAATTAGAGAAATGTAAATCAATACATTGCCATAACTAATACTAATTCACACCCTCTAGGATGGCTATGATTAAATTATAAAAGGAAAATAACAATTTTTGATGATGATGTAGAGGAATTAGAGCACTTGTACATTGCTGCTGAGAACTTAATGGTGGTAGTGCCATAGAGGAAGATAGTTTGGCAGTTCATCAAAAACATAGAGTTACAATATCACCAAATAGTTTTGTTCTTAGATATATACACAAGAGAACTGAAAACATGATTATGCAAAAAAGTGCATAAAATTGTTTATTGTAGCATTGTTGTTAAGTAGCCCCCAAATTGGAAAAATCTAAATGACTACTAACTAATGAATAGATAAATAAAATATGGTATATCTAAACAATGGAAAAATATTCAACCATTAAAAAGGAAATGGAACCACTAAAGTCTCCATCCTTATCACATGAGAAAGATTTCAACTGCCTGTGAAATAAAAAGACAAAATTGAAAACTTCCTTTATAAAACCCTAAGTATCTGAGGACTCCAGATGGAGAAATACTTCTTTATGGCAGTTACCCAATCCAGGAGCTCACATTTCTCATGACTTTTCCAGTGAGATACTCTCAGTTTGGGGAAGCTTAGCTCTCAGAGTGCTGGCTCATCTTGCCTATGCTTCTCTATTAATTTCCTGCTAAGCATTCTAAACTACATATTAGAGTTATTAACTGTTATTGATTTTTCAAATCATGCAGTTCTCAGCTAAATCTGGGAGATGAGTGACAAATTTCTTATGTAGAAATTACATCTTTTCTATGTAGAAATTGTAACTCAACTGAAACATATAGCACTGACCTGTTTTTTTCAGTCCCACCTATTTTATTTAGTCCAGTCCATTTGAGTAGAGATAGATGTGGTTTCTGGTTCCTACAACTGCTCTCTAGAGGTTGCATGAGATTATTTGGGTATAACAGCAATTCTTTTTAAATCAACAGGATATTTTTACTTAGAAACCTTACCTCTTTTTAAAAGGTGATATGCAAATTGGTTTCCTGAAACCAGCATTTCTTTCCTAATTGGACCTTATTTAAGTACCCTTACTGCCAAGTATAAAGCCATTCCACAAATAGAACAGCTGTAATAGTTTTCACTCATCAAAGGCTTTGCATTCCACTATCTGTTTGTATTTTGTAACTAGTAAGCCATTAATACCAGAATCATATCATCAGCAAATTGTTGGTGACTTTCTTGTAGCTTGACTATTGGCTTGTATTTTGGTAGGGCAATCTGACTGGCTTCAGTTGCATTGTTCTCAGCCCTAGAATCTTAGATTAAGTAGATGGTAGTTTACAGCCAGTAGTCTGAGGGTAACCCCCATAGGGGGAAATCTTACTTTAAATTCATAAGTGGATTTGATTGTTATTGTTCAAAATTATCCAGTCTATGTGAGATTGTATTATTTACTTTTGGAGTTGTATAACTGTAACATATCTCTGTGACTCTATTACTGTGAAATACTGTAGGAGGTTTCTTCAAAATAGTAGAACTAAGGGTTTCATGAAAGCTCAATCAATAGGTAAGAATTCCAAAGTATTGTATGTAAGATTCCACAAAATATTTAATCATAAAATAATTTTAAATATCCTTTAAAAAATTAAAATATTGTATTAGTAAAAGAATAACTTTTAATTTGTCAACTATTTTCATTTATATATTCTAGGCATTATGTTAGATATTGGGTTTACAGTAAAAAGATCTGGTAAGTGAATTCACAATCTAGGAAAGAACATGAATAAAATAATTATAATTAATATTACTTTATAATTAAAAAATACACTAGGAGTAGTTTGAGAGATAGTAGAATTCCACATGGTCAAATTCTCAGATGAGTGTAATCTACTAGTGTCTTTGGAGGCAGAGAAATGGGCAGCTAAGGAAATACGTGCTCCCTGAGATTAAGCCAAATCTTGTTTTTTTGGTTTTAGCAAACTCTGAAGACTTAATGTTTATTTTCTTCCCTAGTCATCATTTTCTTATTTACATTTTTGTTGAAAAGTTTAGAGTTGATACTTTTTGTTATTATAAATGTATTGTATAATTTCATTTTTTATATTAGTAAATTTTAAAATGTTAAACACTTTTTATCAAAATAAAAATGAATGGCTGTTTTACTTCTGTGATATTTGGTTAACCTCATTTATACGTCTGTGAATCTCCATAAGTTAAAAAAGAGTAGTAGTTTTATTAATTATAGTAATATATCACTTATCCAATTATTTATATTTTGTGTTTGGGTCTTTACAAAATATATTTTTGTTGTGGTGATTGTTTCAAGTCTGGCATGTCTGCCTTTGTTTTGCAGGTTGTTTGCCATAAATTATAATTTCTTTGTCTTTTCAATAATAGGTCCTTCCTTCCCAACCCCCCCAACAAGTGATTTAGTAATTTTTTTAATGATGACATTAATCTACAATGCAGCTTACCCATCCGTTTGTCGTTAATAGAAATCTGGAATTTAAAAGTCCGTCGTGTTTTAAACATGTAGAGTTTGAAGAACAGTAGTGGGATATCCAAATGGAAATAATCATGAAACTAAAATTGATATTAGTGACTTGTATGTGTATATAGAGATTATATGTAGTATATAACATATAAAATTTGTTCACATGTTGATTATATATGAAATATGTAATATATGAAATATGTAATATATAATATATAATCTATTTAGACTCTTGTTACTCAATTCTATAATAGCTACACAATAGGTGAGAGCTGATGCAAACTGTTTACTATGTTTAAGGTGGTTGAATGTTGGCCTGTGAGCAATGAGGATTTAGTGAAGGGTATTTTAAACAAGAGAGTGACATGATTAGACTTACATTTTTGATAGCCTACTCTGGTGGCTCAGGGATACCATCTGGTAAGCTATTTTAGTAGTCCAGCAAGAGACGATGAGAGGACTTTATGAGGAAGGACTTTAGAAATGCTTAGGAAATAAAAATGAATAATCTCGTTGTTTGCTTGTATGTGAGGTAGGAGCAAAGTGGCTAGAGTTATTCCAGTGTATCAGCTTAGAGAAAAAATATATGAGGAGATATTAAGTCCATTTTGAAAAATTGAGTTTGAAATGCCTGTGTGACAATCAAATGAAGATATCTGGTGAAGAGTTGGATTATGGCTTTGAGATCAGGAGATCCGAACTAGAAAGGAAGATTCAAGAGTATGGCAATGTTTTGTGAAATCATGTTCCACGATGATATGTTACCCCAGAATAATGTATGGTATTTCCCCCTACAGTATGGGGGGAAAGAGGATTTAAGACATTAGAACATTGAAGAATTCTAATTGGGAATTGGACCAGAAGTACTAATAATAAGATATGAAGAAAACCATATTAATTCTACTAGCCCCTTAGGTCATGGCTTAAACATCCCCATCTCAGAGACGCCTCAGTTGATTCCCAATTAAAATTAAGTCTCTTCTATTGTTTTTCTTTTTTTTTTAAAGATTTACTTATTTATTTATACAAGCACTGGGTACAGTCAGAAATGCGGGAGGGTGAGAGAATTCACCAGAGCCAGAGCAGGGAGCAGAACAGGCAGACTGACGAAGCACACTGCTGAGGGGAGCGGTGGGTGAGTCAGGAGAGGTCTGCGAGAGGCTGCAGGCAGCTTCACAGCCCAGTGCTCAACCGCTGTGCCACCAGGGAGGCCCTTGTTTTTCTCTTTGAACCTCGTTCTTTTCCTTTATAACTTTTTTTTTTTGGACAGGTCACATTAGAGCTCTTTTTTTTTTTTTTTTTTTTAAGATTTATTTATTTATTTATACAAGCACTGGGTACAGTCAGAAGCGCAGGAGGGTGAGAGAAGAGCCAGAGCGGGGAGCAGAGCAGGCAGGGTGACGAAGTATACTGCGAGGGGAGCAGCGGGCCGCAGTACACTGCTGAGGGGAGGAGTGGGCGGCAGGAGGGGTCTGCGCGCCATATGGGACCCTCCTCCGGTGGCCGGGGAGCAGCCGGGGATCGAACTGGCGCTGCAGAGGCTGCAGGCAGCTTCGCAACCCAGCGCTCAACCATTACGCCACCGGGGAGGCCCTCCTTTATAACTTATCACAATTCAGAATTTATTTACTATTTTGCATTTTGTTTATTTCGTCCACTCTGTGAGAGCAGGAACTTATGTTTTTCTGTCCACTAATTTGTTCAACTCCTAGCACAGTGCCTGGTGTATATGAGAGATGCTTGATGTATTGTTACGTGAAAGAAGGAAGTTTGTGCTCACAGAAACCAATGGATGACAGTATTTCCAGAAGGAAATAGTTTCAAATGCTGGTTCTAACAGTTCAGTAAAGTAGTAAGTAGTAGCAGTAGCAACAGTAGCAATAGCAGTATTAGTAGAAATAGTAGTAACAGCAGCACACATTGAGCACTCACATATAAAGGAATGAAAAAGTATCCATTTATCAATGAGTAAATACCAGATGAGTTATCTGCTAAACAAATATTATCTCACAGAGCTCTTTTTATTTTGATTCATTTATTTATGCATACATGAGCTGGGGTACAGGCCAGACGTGCAGGGGGTGAGAGGATTCACCAGAGACAGAGTAAGGTAGCAGAACAGGTGGATCTGCTGAAATACACTGCCGAGGGGAGCAGTGGGCGAGACAGGAAAGGTCTGCTGTGCCTCGTGGGTCACCTCCCTGACCGTGGATTGAACACATGCTGCAGTGGCTGTGGATAGCTTCATAGTGCAGACGCTTAACCCCTTGCGCCACCAGGGAGGCCCCTCACAGAGCTGTTTTTCTGAAAGAGAGATAATAACAATAGCCAACATTCTCTAGGAACTTTCAGTGCACTCTTTTTATGCACTGTTTTACTCAGTCCTCACAAAAATCTGAAGGTAGGTAGATATAGTTATTATCTTCTGTTACAGATGAAGATAGAAGTTTGAGATGATTGTGTATTTTTCCTAAGTACAGACAGATAGTGGTTAAGCCAGGACTAAAACTAGACATTTCTGACCCCAAAATCCATATTTTTCCATCACCATATTCTAATAGAGGCATCCAGCTGATTCTTCATCAAGGAAATATCTCGAAAATGAACTTTGGCCAGGAACGTTATTGCTGCTGTTTATTGTAAACCTATGGTAAATCAGTAAAATTTTATTTTTTAAAATATGCCTATTTGGTTACATGAAATAGTAAATTGATTGGAATCATAGATGTTATTTATATACCAAAAAATGGAATAGATATGACTATCTTTGGTATTGAGAAAGGGCTAGAGATAGAGTAAGTTTTAGACCTAGAGAAAAGGAATTTACTCAGATTATTAAGGAAAGCCACGTGAGAGATCTCATGAATCTCAACATTTATAATAATCTTTATAAAACATTGCTGTCAACATGTGGTGCTGTGATTGATAATTTTAGAGATAAGTTAAAGATTTTTTTCATTTAACAAGAATTTTTTCACCTTTTACAAGAGTAGATAGATTAAAAAAGAATGGAAAGGTATATTATTTGGTGATAATAAAATCCTAAAGATAGTGATGAAGATAACTATCTTTAATTACATATGAATGCCCAGTCAGAATTGTCAGTTTCAGTGGGGACTCAGGGAACAGTGGTTGATAGGGACAGATCAGAGGAGTCTTTGCTGCTGTCACGAACAGGCACAACATGTGAGGGAAAGCCTGACTGGTGTGCTAGGGAAATGACTGCTCTCTGGCATCTGAACCAAGGTGCTGACATAGACTAAACACTTGATCTTTGTCACCTGACTACAATAAACACAGGGTTAGGGGTATAGAATTCAAAGTTGGTAAGTACGATGCAAAATCCAAATCTAGTCCATTACTTTATTTAAAGATTCATTTTATTTATTTATGCATACAAGAGCAGGGGCGTAGTCCCTAAGGAAGGGTGGGAGTGAGAGGATCCACCAGAGACAGAGTGGGGAGCCGAACAGGCAGTTGACTAAAATCACTGCTGAGGGGAGCAAAGGGCGAGACAGTAGAGGTCTGCCGCACCATGTGGAGATCTCCCTGGCCGGGGAGTGAACTGCAGATAGCTTCATAGTGTTGAGACTTAACCCCCTACGCCACCAGTAATTTAAAATTAAATTAATTTTAATCATATATATATATTATTTTCCTATCAATATAAAGCCTCAAACCTTATGAATAAAAGTTGTTTTAAATTGTTTTAAGAGTAGAGTCTAAAATTTATAAATATAAAAAAAATTTCTCTGACTCCCAGTTACATACGCAGTTTTTACATTTATATATTTGATTTTTTCTTTTGGGGAAAAAAACCTCAGTGTCTATTTAATTAGTCTAACAGTATTTTCTTCCTTATCTCTATGATTTCATAAAGGGTGATTAATTTTATTTTACAGATATAGAAAAGAAAGTATAGAAACAATAAATAGCTGATGATTCCTGTGCTTTTGTATAGATGTGGATGCTTTTATGAAGACTGTAATTGTTTATTCACTCTGAGACAGCAGTGTTTGGATAGTTTCAAACATAAAAGAACTTCCTCTCCTGTGGTTGGAAAGTTCATCGGGGTGGATTTCTTATTGTTGTCTTTTCTTTTTTAGGTGTGAAGTTTTTCAACATGAGTGGCCTCGGGGACAGTTCATCCGACCCTGCTAACCCAGACTCACATAAGAGAAAAGGATCGCCATGTGACACACTGGCATCAAGGTAGGAACACTCTTTTCTCAGTCTATTTCTGGTACTGCTGCTTTATCAGTTCCATTGCCACTGTAGAGCTTTCGTTTCATTTACTCCAAGTTTGCTGGCAGTCTCTGTGTCTTGCATAACTCACCAAGTTCGCTTTCTTCCTCAGAGTCTTTAAGCATGCTGTTCCACAAGTCAGCCAGATTTCCCATAGTCAACACCTATGCATTCTCCCAAAGCCAGCTCTGTCATTGCTTCCTTAAAGGGACCCTTCTCTTCCTTCCATAACAGTTAGGTCAAATCTCCCAATTCGTTTACCTGCCTCAGACATTTCTTATAGCTGCAATCCATTATTTCAGGTTTTTACTAGTGTGTGTGGTTGTTTCATGAATCCCCTGGCTTCTCTATTACATTCTAAGCTGCTATTAGGTAAGGGCCTTGTCTGTTCTTGCTCACCATTTTATCCCTTGTTCTTGGTACAGTGTTTATTTTACATATAGTAAAGACACAGTAAATATTTGTCAAATGAATAAGTAAATCTTATGCATCTTTAAGTGCTGTATTAGAACATTATGGTATTAGTGGAGCTAAAAATATGTTGTTATAATATCAAGATTTCAAGGAAAGATTATTTGTAAAATTAAATATTTGTGTGTTAAAAGGAATATGATCGTCTTAAATAGGCTGGAAAAAAGCTAACATTACCATCAGAGACCCTTTCCCTGCAGCTGCTCTGTCTCTCACCGCCTCCTCCCATTCCCCTCAGTGTCTCAGTTCTGAGGACAGTGTCATCCTTGTGATTTCCTGTACACCTTGTAATACCTATGTAATAAGTAAATCTTACAGAAACTACTCAGTTATCACCTTTGAAAAAAAATCATCATCATAATAAAGATATATTGCTAAAAAATTCTAACAAATGCCAAATAGAGAAGGAACCTCATTCACATCAAAAGAGCAGAGTGGGGATTTTATTCCATTCATCTCCTAGGATCTAGAGCCAAGTTTCTCCCCCTCCACACTATTGACATTGCTGGTCAGGTCAGTCTTTGTTATGGGGAGCTATTCTGTATCTTGCAGGATGCTTATCAGTATCCCTGGCTTCTACATATTAGATCTACATATTAGATGCATTAGATGCATCTTTATATCAATTATGATAACCAAAATGTCATTCAGTTGTGATAACCAAAAGTGTTTCCAAACATTGTTCAGTGTCCCGTGGGGACATGGAATGCAGTTTGACCCCCACTGATAATCACTGAGTTGGCAAATAAAGCAATAGAAGACACTGTTTTTCATTGGAATACAGGATTCCAGTCATACATAGGGAAGGATTTTAACTGGAAAGTAATAGGGCACACGGTTAAAGAAAGAAATTTCTCTTAATCAGCTCAGATGACTGTTATAAAGAGATGGTAACCTGAATGCTGTCATCACCAGTAAGAGTGCAGTGTGAGGAGGGATGCTGATACAAAACATAGACTTGTATTTTCAAAGTTAATGTTTATATCTGTATATAAAACCAGTCCTACTTAAAGGAAAAGTTAAAAATAAATAAAAATTTTATCTTTTACATTTAATTTTCTTTAGATAAATGTTTTAAATTTATAAAAGAACAGACTAGGAAATTAGTTTACCCACAATATGTAATTGATAATATTTTGCTGTATTGTTAATATTTTATCATATTTATAGTCTTATTTAAGGAAAAGTAAAAATAATTTATCAGCAATTTCACCAATCTGTTTTAACAGTTTTATATAGATACATGTATGTGTCCATGAACAATATGGAATATTTGTTAAATTTACATAATTTTTATAGTATTGTGTGTAATTTCTAGAATGTACATTTTTACCATGGAACATGAGATATACATACAAAATTATTTATTCAGCCCTATTAACTTTTGATTAATATTATATTGCATGTGTTACATGATTAAGTGCATTTAAAAGATCCATTTTCCTGCAGCTCTGCATTCCCTATAAACCACCTTTTTATTACACATTTTTTCACAGCCAGCCCTGCAGTGAAAATTCTCATACACACCCCCTATTTTGTCTATAAGAGTCTTTAGATTTGTGCACTCTTTTAGTTTGACTTGGTAATTACTGCATTGCTCCTCAGATGACAAGCATTAAGAATTCCTCTTTTTTTTTAAATTTTTTTTAAATTTATACAAGAGCTGGGTTACAGGCCAGAGGCATGGGAGGGTGAGAGGATTCACCAGAGACAGAGTGGTTAGCAGAACAGGCAGACAGACCGAAAGCACTGCTGAGGGGAGCAGCAGGCGCGACGGGAGAGGTCTACTGCACTTTGTGGGAATCTTCCTGGCCACCAGGAATCGAACCCACTGCAGAGGCTGCAGACAGCTTCACAGCGCTGTGCTCAACCCGCTGCGCCACTGGGGAGGCCCAAGAATTCCTCTTTTCTCACTGCCTTGCCCACAGTATTCTCTCCTCACTTTAATTTTTGTCTAATATATATGGGGTTATAGTTTTAAGTACATTTTCTTTGTAACTATTTGTTGATCCTCAGTTTCATTTGTATGTCCATTGTGTTTTTTTCTTCTGTGAAGTTATGTCTTTTGCCCATGTTCTTCCTGCTGGATTGTTTGTCCTTTTCCATTTTTAGCTGTCAGCGTAAATTTTAATTTTCTAGTTACTAACCTTTTTTGCTTGTATTTGATGGGATATCTTCTTCCAGACTGTCTAAGTCTACTGATGATGTTTGTTGACATACCTTACAACCTTAATTTTCATGTATCAAACTTTTTGGGGTCTTCAGAATTTTTCCCTCTACTTCAAGGGTTTTAATTACTCTGGAATTTATTTTTGTATATGGCATAAAGTTTATGTATTAGGCATAAACCTAATTTTATGCCCTCCCGTTAGAAAGTCAGGAGTTATGACCTTATTCTTTCCCTGCTTTTGTGCTATTATCTTTATGGTAGACCAAGTTCCTGCAGAGATAGGGATCTGATTGTTAATTTTCTATGACAGTCACCTTAATATCTGATGGGGCCAGTCACTCTTCCTTGTTTTTGTTTTTGTTTTGTTTTTTCAAAATTAGTTTACTTGTTCTCGGCCTTCTTTTCCACACAAATTTTACCATAGCTTTTTAAGTTTCCCCTGAAAAAAAATTCTGCTGAGATCTGGATTGATTTCATTTACTTTTATAGATTAAAGTGGGGAGAATTGACATCTTTATGATACAGACTATTTATATCTAGAGTGATATTGATAACTGTAGTTCTCACTTAAATCTTCACTGTTCTTCAGTAATAGTTTATTGTTTTCGTCATGAATGTCTAGCCCATCTTTAGTTAGGCATATTCTAGGGTACCATTGAGGTGTGTGTGTGTTTCCTTGCTTTTAGGAATGATACTGTTTTGTTTGTCGTGTTTCTAATTAGCAGTTATTAATGTATAGGAATAATGAGTGATTTGGAGTATTGATCTCATTTTCATCCATTGTTCTTAAATTTCTTATTTGTTTTAGTGGCTTCTCTGTAGATTCTCTTTGTTTATTGTTTTTTCTTTTCTTGGATGTCTTAAAGATAATTACCTTTCCATGTTTACTTTGAAAATACCGTCCTCAGGCTTGTACATATGGGCTTGAGTTATAATAAAGTGGTATTTTTGATAAGGTAAACTTAAGAATTTGTCATTTTGGGGCCTCCCCAGTGGCGCAGCGGTTGAGCGCTGGGTTGCGAAGCTGCCTGCAGCCTCCACAGCACCTGTTCGATCCCCTGCTACTCCCCGGCGACCGGAGGAGGGTCCCACATGGCACGCAGACCTCTCCTGCCGCCCGCTGCTCCCCTCAGCAGTGTACTTCGGTCCTTCTGCCTGCTCTGCTCCCCGCTTTGGCTCTGGTGGATTCTCTCACCCTCCCGCGCTTCTGACTGTACCCAGTGCTTGTATAAATGAATAAATAAATCTTTTTTTAAAAAAAAAAAGGAGAATTTGTCATTTTGAAACTGAGTTTGTGCATTAATACCACCTTGTAATGTTTCTTTTGTTTTTGGTATTACATACACTGCCCTCCCCCAAACAGATTGTGAAATCACTAATCATAAAGAGAACATATTAGACCTTGGGATATTATCAGCACTGTTTCCAAGAGCCCTCCCAGGAGAGTTCCCTACTTGTTTGGTGGGGTGAGCTGTCTTGTATCCCCTTCTGTTACCTCTTCTCCATTCTTCAACTCTTCTAGGAGAATAAGGATTAAAACACCTATCTTAAAATGGCAGGTAGCTGTGCCTTTTGTGTGTTTAGAAAATCCAATTCAACTCAACAAGTGCTTTTAAAGCCTAATGCAGCCTGCCTCAAGTGTGTGGTATTATAAAGCTCTAAGTGCAGTGTGAGAGACATGTTTTCTATCTTCAAGGAGCTTGCAAATCAGGTCATGCCACTTTTTTTCTTTTTAAAGTCTTATTCTGTTCTCCCCCTTTCCCTGAAAATAATCATAAAGATAACATAATAATCATAATGATAACATACATTGAACCAATAGTATATGCCAGGAGCTCTGCCAAGTACTTTACGTGTATCATCTTTTTTATTCCTTACAAAAATCATAGGAAGAAAATAATGTCATTATACCTGTTTTGCAGATAAAGAAATAAAAGCTTTGAGGAGTTACATTGCTATTAAGTAACTTGTTAAGGGTTACCTTGCTAGTAAATGACAGGAAGGTTGAACTTGCACTTACAAGTAATATACTATGCTCTTTATCATGGCATGCAAGAATCCTTGTGATCTGGTCTGGACCTCATCTCTGTCCTTTTGTTTCTTATAACCTGTTGTTCAGCCATTCTGAACTATTTATAGGTTCTTTAACTTGACTTTTTATCATGCTCACTTTTTACCTTTGAAAAATCTGGAGGGTGGTAGTTGCTTTTTCTTCAGGAAACCACCTCATTCTCTAGGTTTTGGTGCCATCGCTGTACCTTTCTGAAGCATTATTGTGTTGCCACATCATGTTGTAATGATCTGTTTCCTTTTCTTTGTTTTCCCACTAATTGGGAGCTACATCTAATTTATTCCTGGGTCCCTAGGACATAGCACATACATCATTATCTGGCACATAGAGAAAGGTAGTAAGTTGAAGGAAAAAAGATACATGAGAAGTTAACTCATAGTAGCATTAACTAGCATGTATGCAATATAAATGGAAATAAAGCAGGTTCATGAGAAGAGAAATGTAGGTGGCCCAAAATAATAAAGAAAATATTCTTTTCTATGAAGATAGAATTTGTTTGGTCATCTCTGCCCTTCCTTCAGTTTTGGCTTTTTTTTTTTTTTTAACATATTTGCTCTCATTTTTTTGTCCTTGTTTATTGATTACTTCATTTTGTGGTGATTTTCCTGTTTCATTCTTAATTCATTTTTTAGATTCCCTAGTTCATTACTTTTAGCTTCTTTTTCCTGTTACCTCTCTGATTATCCTGCCCATTCTATTGGTTTTTCTTTTAATTTATGGTGGTTTCAAGCATTTCAGTTTTATATAAAATTGAATGTCATAAACAGATTTGGTCGTCCCACCAGATGAATCTAATTTATTTGAGTTGAAATTTAGACCCAAGGATTCAGATCACACTTTAGACTACACCTGCTAAGTCTAGTATCAACTAGTTTCTTTAAGGTAAAAATCAGTTGTTCTTAAAAACACTATCAGATTGCAGAGCTGGAGTTGTATAAACCCTTGTGTATGTCAAATGTATGTTACTCATTTTCCTCATGCCTGGTCTTCAGTGACTTATTGTAAAATTTGTCATTGTATCCTGCTGTGTATACTTGGTGTGGAAGTTGCAACTTAAAGTTTTACTAAGTAAAAAATTAAAAAGATAAAGACAGAAAGTGTGATCATTATAGTTTTAAAATTTGGATTTATGTTGGGGTGTGCCAGACAGTAGTCTTGTTTTATGTAGGTATGTGCATTTGCTTAGTTGAATTAGTCCTTTCTGCTTATCATGTTGTAATGTAAATGTGTGCTTTTATAGTCTTTTTCTGTTAAGAAAAGAAAATGGTACTTTAATTGTTGCCAGTTATGAGATTTTTGGCAATTGATCTTTCCCTCTTTCCATCAGCACTTTCATATTGCAGTTAAATGATTTTGATTGCTGCTTATAAAACAGGAGGATACTTGTGATGTGACCAGTCTTTCGTATATCAATTTTGTGATAGATAATTCACTGTCTTTGTATGTTTTGCAAAGCAAATTTGCCTAATAAACAAGCAAGGGTGAAGTCTGGAAAACAAAAATGAACATTATTCAAATGTATAGAATGAATGTAAAGTGCTATTTGTACTATTTTTTTCTTGTTATTTGAAGATAAACTGAGTTTGATTTTATTTATTAATTTGTGAGTACTAATAGGTAGCTGTTTTTTGTTTTTTAGAACAAAGTCATATACATGAGACATTCTTCTTTATACCTTTTTAATTATGATTTGTAATTTTTTATTTTACTTTTTGAATCATTACATTTTTCTTTTTGATGAAGAACAACTATTTTTCTAATCATTTTAAGAATTAAGGCCTTTGTTATCATAACTCAATTGAACTCTAGTATAGTCTGCCCGGCTTAACTTATGGCAAAGTCATTTGAGTATTAAGATTTTCTATTTCAAAGTGCTATTGTTTAGAAATAAAATAATTCTAAATTTGACTAATATAAATAGTACCTGGTTCCTTGTAACATATACTGTTCACTGATTATTTGGAATATTCAGTGTGTATGTAACTTTGAGGAAATTAATGTGATAGCAGTCATTTTCTATGTTTTAGCAGTATTGTTTTCTGTACTTTTATAGTACCTACCTGCTTTTTATATATGAATTTCAAATTGTTTTCTAAATCTGGCTTATATTCTGAATAAAAATAAGGAGCCCTTTAAAGTGTAAACATGAAATACTTGTTCAAAGAAGGAAAAATGGTGGTAGAAATGTATACTAACTGGATTTATTTTGTATAACAGCACTGAAAAGAGGCGCAGGGAGCAAGAAAACAAATATTTAGAAGAGCTAGCTGAGTTATTGTCTGCCAACATCAGTGACATTGACAGCTTGAGTGTAAAACCAGACAAATGCAAGATTTTGAAGAAAACAGTAGATCAGATACAGCTAATGAAGAGAATGGAACAAGGTAAAAAACCAAACCAAATGGTTAAGACATTGGCAATAATGGTTTTATTATTTTTAGAAAATTGCCTTGGACTTTGTAATTTTATTCAGAAAACATTTTTGTTTTGTTTCATTTTAGAAAGTGAAGCTGAGAGCCTTCTTATTACAATAAAGTGGCTATTAAGTTAACTTGAAAGCTGATTGCCTTGGGAAATTATGGTAGCTAGTATCATAGGGGGTTGAGTCAGGAATCATAACTTCAACTTGTGTGTAGATAGAGGATTCCCTGAGGAATGTTTCCATGGAAAAGCTGGAACATAGGGGAGTATCAGATGAATGATGAGATTGAGAAGAAGAGTTTAGGGATGAGTTAAACTACACAGAAATACTAAAACATAAAATATAAGAAGTGTAGCTTGGAATACACACCTTGAATCATTTGAGAACTATGTTTATGTGGCGATATAATTGTAACATTAAAGAGAGGGTGCTCTGAAAATTGTTGTAACTACTTTGGGAGGATGGAAGGACAGAAATGTGAGTGTAGGCAGTTGATGCATATAAGTTAAATTATTGGCTTTCATGATAGCATGCCAATAGATTGTGTCCAGAATGGACATAATCAGGTTAAAACAAATACACATGCTATTGAGAAATATGAAATATATTATTAGGATACAGGCGAAGGTAGTATAACAAGGGACCCAATGTACAGTGGCTTTAACAAGATAGTCTAGGCATGTATCAGAGGACCATCTTTCTTGCTATAACATTCCTACGGTACGGCCATTATCCACATGGTCAAGTGTGATTGCCCTGTCCATGTCTCAGCCAACAAGAAGGGGAAAAAAGCAAATAGGAAGTCATGCTTCTTTCCTCTTAAGGGCAAGACCCAGAAATTCTCTTCACATCCTATTAGCCAAAATCTAGTTGCATAGCAGCTAAAATTTTACATGTTTTGCTTTTCACACATAGTTATTTAATCTACTTAGACCTGATGGTTTATTTGGAGAAGCGGGGAGGAACTTGTTTAAAAAAGAAAAACTGTCTTAATGTTATAAACACACAAAATGATGGTGGAAGTATATTTTATAATTAAATGAGACATTCCTTTCATAATAATAAAAAGATAAATAACCCAATTAAAGCATAGACAAAGCCCTAGAATAGACATTACTCCAAAGAAGACTTATAGTCAGTAGCACATAAAAAGATGTTCAGTATTTTAACCACCAGAAAAATGCAAATCAAAACCACAATGGTACCTCTTTATGCCCACTCAGAAGGCTATAATTAAAACAGACAAATAATAATAAGTGTTGATAAGTATGTAAGAATTTGGAACCTTCATATACCACTGGTAGGAATGTAAATTGTACAGCTACTTTGGAAAACAGCCAAGTAGTTTTTCAAAAGGTTAAGCATAGAGATAGCATATGACCACTGCTGCATATCTGCTCAAGAGGAAAGGAAAACATATGTCCATACAAAAACTTTTATACAAATATGCCTAACATCATGATTCATAAGTGGCTGAATAAATAGCCAAAAGTAGAAACAATCCATATGTCTATGTACAGATCAGTGTATAAATAAAATAAGGTATAGCTATACAAAGAAATATTATTCAGCAATGAAAAAGTATCAATAAATGTTTCAACATGGATGAACCGTGGAAACATGCTAAGCAAGAGTCACAAAGATTCATGTGTATGATTCTATTTATCTAAAATATCTAGAACAGGTAAATCCATACAGACAGAAAGTAGATTGTTAATTACCTAGCCTCCCAAGAACTCCAGCATCTGCTTTCCTGGGATTCCCAGAAAATCCTGGGACCTCTGTGGACCAGGCCAGGGGACTCCACAGGACAAAAAGTGCCTGTGCCTGAGTGCCTCAGTAGCCTTGGAACAAGCAGACACTCAGCAGGTTTTTTTTTTTTTTTTTTTGGTTTGTTTGTTTTAAAGATTTATTTGTTTATTTATACAAGCACTGGCTACAGTCAGAAACGCAGGAGGGTGAGAGAATTCACCAGAGCCAGAGCAGGGAGCAGAACAGGCAGAAGGACTGAAGTACACTGCTAAGGGGAACAGTGGGCGTGGCAGGAGAGGTCTGCGCACCATATGGGACCCTCGCCAGATGGCTGGGGATCCAACTGGCGCTGCAGAGGCTGTGGACAGCTTCGCAGCCCAACGTTCAATGGCTGCGTCACCAGGGAGGCCCTCAGCAGTTTAGGATTGAATTACTCAACACAATGTAAGATCCCCCTCCCCCCGAAAAGAGTCCCTCACCTCTCATAGCCCCTTTCACTGGTCTTGGCTATTGGTCTTCAAATCAATTTGGTGCCACTGCCTGTAAAATGCCTCTGGCTATGAGGAAAACTCACAGTTGAGGCCATTTACAACAGATATGTGTACTTAGAATGGAGGTCCCCGAGATTGGGTAAATATATGCGGTGGTCAGTGGCAATTGTGGCACCCAATGATTAGGGCCACTGGCTCCTGAATCTAGGGTAGTACAGTTGCTGTGTCAGTTGACACCTCATGTGACTTAGAAGATTTGGTGCCCTTTTTGATGAAATGGAATTTATACCTAACCTGTGGGGTTATTAATAAAATGAAAGGCTAAAGCATGAATCTCTCTCTCACACACACACACACACACAGACACACACACACACACTTAGAAATGGTTGTATTCACCTCAAAATACCTGTTGCTTCTGAAAAGGGACAGAAGAGGAATGGTGGCAGAACTATAATACCATATTTGGTTTTTTTTTGTGAACTAAGTTAGTTTGACAGACTGGAAACTTTAAGGTTGATGTTGCTGTAAGATGATGGATAGATTTTCAACATCACTGCACAAAAGAATTCCAGATCACTTAGCATTTACAGTTTTATCAATCACATCATCATGACATGAATGTGAAAGGTTAGTTCATTCAGGTTCATAAAAATCATATCTTCATTCTCCGTTCAGTGGCAGTTGATCAGGTCAGAAAAGGAAATGGAGACACTGGAGTAATTCTTTTCTGTTTATCCATTTCTTAAAAACCTTTTTTGTTTTTTTTGCTTTTTAACAAGTTATAATTTATACCTTTTTTTTCATTGTTGGGATGCTGGACTTCATAGGTCAAATCCTCCTGCTGCCATTTATTAGTTATGTGATTTGGGGCTCATTATTTAACTTTCGTGACCCTCAATTTTATCATCCATAAGATGAGTAAAATTGAAATTAAATGTAAAAGTGCCTAGATAATAAGTGTTTTCTGAATCCGAAGTCAGGTGAATCTTTGTAGGAATGAGCTCTTTTTGGATGTGTCACTTTTTGTTTTTTTATTACAGAGAAATCAACAACTGATGATGAAGTACAAAAATCAGACATCTCCTCGAGTAGTCAAGGAGTGATAGAAAAGGAATCCTTGGGACCTCTTCTTTTGGAGGTAACTATTCTCATCTACTCAGGAAGTGTGATCAAGAGCTATATTCTAGCCAATTTGGTTTTTTCTTTTTCTTTTATATCTTACAGCCAATTAATAAATTATAAAACAAACTAAAGTTTTAAAGAACTTTTAATAATTATTTTATTATTGAAACTATTTTGACACATGTTACTATTTCAGAATTAAATGTAAGTAATGAACATAAGAAGTTTTCATCAAAGCATTCTAAATAGTAAGGTGAAAACTGAAGCCTACTGTATGACTTTGCCATTTATTTCTGGGATGGCTGGGAAAATAAAACATTAGAATTTTTTAGCTAGTTATTGATTACTATCTGTGTCCCTACTGTAGAATTTTACTTTTGAGTGAGGGATGTCCCACTTTTTTTGAAGTAGATATTTTCCTGAAATTTTTCTGAGGATTTTTTAAATTGTTTATATATATTCTGTAAGAGAACTGACTATTTTAACAACCTTACTATTTTATCAGCCCTCTTTTTAAAGTGAAAAACTTTTAAACTTGACTTTCTTTGTATTACTGTATAATTTTTACTCAGTTTTCCCATCTAACATTCACTCTCTCTTTTCTCATCACAGAAGTTTTGTCCAAGCCCCATCATCTAAATGCCCTCTCTCCTACATGAATGTTCAAAAATATGTATATATTTGTACATGTATGTACATACATACATACTCATTCCCCACAGTATATGCCTTTCTGTCTCTAGGCCTAATGTTTTGTGTTTGTGTGTGTTACTTATATGTGTGTATAGTATATACATATATGTATATATTCATATATGTATGTGTGTATATAAAATACATTCTATTCGCAGCTTTCCTCTCAGAGTGTAAATTCTTTATTTCTCCTCCATATTGAGCAAGCACTTTGCTAGAGTATTGGTTTTGGTGATTTTTATTAGGGGAACAGATATTTTGTAGAATTGTAAAATAAAGATATTTCCTGTTGAAGCTGGATAGAAATTGCACTCTTAGCCACATGTCTTCTTTCAGTTCATCAAATATTTATTAAATGTATTTTTTGCATTTTTGGTCATTTGAAACACTGAAGAAGTATAAGGTATAGAAGTTCTTGAGATTTCTAGGGATTTTGTAGGAAAACAGTTATCACTTTGCTCCTCATTTCATCATTACATCCTCATTACATTCTTCAGAAAGCACACAGATCAATAAGAACAAGTAGATTATCCACAAACTGAATATAGCAACTACTGGAGACAGAGAATATCATCTAGACTACAGTCTAGAGCTGAATGAAGTGTTCAGTAAGGCAGCCAGTAGCCACATTTGACTATTCAAAGTTAAATAAAATTTAAAAATCAGTGATGCAGTCTCATAAGTCACATTTAAAATGCTCAGCACCCACACATGATTAATGACTACTATATCAGACAACACAGACATAGAACATTGACATTGCAGAAAGTTCTGTTTGACAGCCTTTGTCTAGAGGGACTTGCTAAGATGGGAGATTTACACATCTACAGAAGTAACCAAACGTCTACCATAAGATAAATTCTCACCATATACCTACCATACAGTTTTCTCCTCTTCCTTTTTAAATTCTCACCATACAGTTTTCTCCAGTCCCTTCTTAAACAAAAAATACAGGTAAGCAATTAGTTGAGAATGAGGATATTAGAGGTAACTTCCTAACATTTAGAGAGATGGTATTCGAGTTTATTTATTGAACAAATACTTGTTGGTGGCACGTAGTAAGTAGTCATCAATTCAGCTATTGTTTTAAATTCCTCGTTCTCCATTGCTCTCTGCAGCCTAAATTCTCTGCCCCCAACTCCAAGCTTTACATTATCTGATTCTAACACTCATATTTTCCACTGCTCCCCAGGAAAATTTTGTTTTAGTCACTGAAGTCTCCCTGGCATGTCCATTTGGCCTTCTTACCTGGCTCCTTGCCTACCATTCCCTACATTGATGTGTGGCTCTTGGCACACAGTGGATGGAGTTCCCACCATCCACTCTCTCCCTTAAATCTCTTCCCCTGCCTTTCTTAATAAAACCAGCTCCTCTACGGCTACTCCTTAGCCTCTTTCTCAGATTTCTCTTTCTTTATTTGCTCTTAAATGTTAGCACCCCCCAGGATTCAGAACTTGGTTCCCCTCCCCCTTTTTTCTCTTCTGTGCACATCTTAGGCAGTTTTATCTGTAACTGTGACTGTGCAGTGTATTCATGTGTGTTGAAAATATCATATAGAGGGTCTCTGATTTTAAGAAGCAGGCGTGAATTCTAACTAAAGTCAGCAAATATGAATTTACTGGAATGCCATTTGGATATTACAGAAACCGTGCTTGGAAATAAGATGGCATCAAGGCATCTTAAGGAGGCTAAAGCATGCACTGTATGGTCTCTTAGAAAGAACTATCTGGGCAGTGCCCTGCTGCTAGAATGAACATGGCCAGTCTTCTTGTAATTCTCATCAAGGCTCACGTTTAGGGAAAGAGTCTCACTATGGCCTGATTAAGAATGCCACAAAGCTTTATTTAATATAGAAGAAGGAGCCCCCCAAAGGCAATCACAGTATTCTTTGGGAGGGGAAAAGATGATTGTAGTTAAAAACAAATAAAGAAACAGATGATACAACATGTACCTGTAAATTGCAAGTCTAAATCTCTGTTAGAGCTTCCATTTCGGAACCTTTTGCCTATCTCCCTCTGAATGTTCCTCAGTCATAACAAATACACCATTCTAAAATTGAATTTACAATCCATCCCTTTGCCTCCTGTTTAAAAAAAGTAAAAAAAAAACATAACATTAGATTTCCACACCTCCCTGCCCCCCCATCCTTACTCAGAGACAGGCACTTACCTTCCTAAAGAATCACAAACACTAGTCTCCACAGCTGCTAGAGTTCACAACAGTGTGTTTCCTCTGCCTATCACATTCTTTTTTGTCACTTCCAATGCCTTAATTCAGGGTCTTATTTTAGCTAGAGTATCACAATGCATTGCAACTGGTCTGCTTCCAGTCTGCATGCCACACCCACTGCCAGAAGGATCTTTGTAAAAGCAGATCATGTCACTCTCCTGCTTAAAAATGTTGCTTTCAAAATAATCCCCATTGCCTTTAGGAAATAGTCCTATTGTTTTGTTTTTCCTTGAAGCTTTTTCGAAAAAAGTCTACTGTTAAATGTAATACAAATAAGACAGATGTATACAAGGGTTGTTTTTTTTTTTTAAATCCTCTGAACAGTTTCGAATTTCCTTTCCACCCTTTGCCTACCTTGAATTACTGATTTGTGTCCTTCAAATCTTGACTCAGGTGTAGTGTGCCCTCTTCCCAGAAAACCTTACTGATAACAAATATCCATTCTTCCATTTGTGTTAGTTTGTCTAATATACCTTGTTATAACTATATACTTGTCTACTTTGGAAGCTATAAAATTGTTGAGAATTGTGTGATTTATTCCTAGAACTTTGTCCAGTGGCTAACACTTAGGTGGCACTCAGTGTAGCTTGTATAGTCATTTAAAACCAGGGCTGTGAGAAGCCTTGGTTAGTGTGAATTACCTGCTCTGAGACCTAAGGTGGTTCTCTTCAAAGGGTGATATCCTGTGTAGAGAGAAACCCGTCTGACTGATTATGTTGCTTTTAATGAATAGGCATTTGTTATCATCTCCTTGTGCAGCTGGGTGTGAAACCAGCTGTCAAGACTTGAAGAAACAGGAAGATTCCCTCCTAGGAGCAATTTAAATTGGAAGTTAAATTTATGCACAACATATGAGGGAAACTTGTAGAATCAGAACAAGTATTAGTAGATTAGTCAGACATACCTTTAGAAATCAGAGTTGCTATCATATTCATAGTAATAGTCTCCAAAAAAATTCCCTGAAGTGTTACCAATCTCTTGGGAGTGAGATTTTGTACATCTACTATTGTCTGCATTTTCATACTTTAAATTTTTTATAAGTGTATATTTCATGTATAACTTTAAAATATATATATGGGCATTTCCAGCAAAAAGACAAATGATCTACATATCAGGAGTAGGTTCAGCAGGATATCTCTGTGGCCAAGCCTTTGCTGACCTATTTTCCCAGCCAGCCTTTTTGGAGGAAGCTCAAAAGAAATATGATGCCCCAGACTTCACAGAGGAAAGATGAGTCCACATAACTAGGCCAAGCAGAGACCTGATGAAAGTTCTACATTCCCTATAAGACTGACCAGTCGCCTGGTTGAATATTCAAAAGCCAGTTACTAGAATAACTTCCCAGGCTGGCAGTGAGCTCAGGTGCAGTCAATGGGAGGAGAACTTGGAGAAGCCCCAGTAAGTCTGTGGAAACAGGAGACTGCAGCAGTTCCAGGTCCACTGCACTGAATAGGGGAGTAGGGAGGAAATCTTTGAATTTCTCAAATGCCTTAGAAATTACCCCAGGTAATTCAGGTGAATCCCTGGGCTTGTGGGTGCTAAGGGTCTGCACACCAGCTCTAGGCCTACCACTGGCCAGTCTTCAGATTGGACAGAGATGTTCTCAGGAGTGGGTCCATCTCTCCCAATGTGCTGCAGACAAGTAACTTCTAGAGATACACAGATTCAGAAAGTGAAGAAAGCAAGGAGAGATTGGCTGTGACTTTGGAGGTAGATAGGACCACTAGGGAGGCAGAGGGTATGGCTCCAAGAAGGATTCCTTGAAAACCAGATGAAAAAAAGGAGGTGGGAGTGCTGAAGAAGCTAGCAAGGTGGTGTGGCCCTTGGAAATAGTTGACCATGAACAGCCAGGTTGTAGTTGCCTATCTTTCATGTCAACCTGTTTTTGGTTCTGAACCTTACTTATACCCAAATTGTTGTTTATTAAACTCTTTTGAGAGACCAAAAGAAAAAATAAGTTAAATTGTATTTACACTGGTAAATATTTTAATAGCTAGAAATATTTTTAAAAAATTAGATCTACTTTACAAATTGATAGGTATGTTTTAGTTTTCCCTGTTTTCATATAAGTCACATGGCAAGTGTATAAAGATACACTGATCTCCTGCTTTGAAATTTATGGCTAAATTAACTTTAAAAAGAAAACTAGTTAGATATGAGAGTTTACTTCCCTATGCTCACTTCAGCCTAACCAGTTTAGCACAGGGTTTATTTAGTGTTGAAGTTTTTAGATTATTAATCACATCCCGCTCCCCTTTGCATGTACTGAGAAGCAGGAGAGGTCTGCTCGCCATGTGGGACCCTCCTCCGGTGGCCGGGGAGCAGCCGGGAATTGAACTAGCGCTGCAGAGGCTGCGGGCAGCTTCGCAACCCAGCGCTCAACCGCTGTGCCACTGGGGAGGCCTCTTATATTTGTTCTTATTTAAAAAAAGATTAGCAGTATTTTTAATGAGAGCATTGTGGTTGTGCTTCATTATTTTTTAAAATCTTCATTGAGTGTTTTGTGATGCAGTGATTTGAAGATGTAGCACAAAGTTTAGTTTATTTTAATATTTGGTTTAAATAAGCATCTTAACTGAAAAGGACACTTCACAAAATGCAAATGGAAAGATGTATCATTAGATGAGTTTACTAAGTCATAATTCTCATTTTAAAACTATGTGGTTGTTCTCATTACGGTTCCATCTTCCTTGATCTCAAACAGTGATTCTTAGAGACTAATGAAAAAAATATATTTTCACCTTTCTCATATGGGTTTAAAACCTGCTAAAACTCTGATAGAGGATTTTTTGAGCAGGTAAAATGTTCTATTTCTGAATATTTAAACTGAGAAGGTAATTTTTACAGTGATTTATATCATTTTCAGCAACAAAACTGTAACTACAATAGCATTTCAAAACATCCATTTTCGAATGCTGTTTCTATAGCATGTGTCTTTTAAAAAGTTTACTTTTCATTCATTATTAAGATTTCATCTTTACCCTCAAAATTGTGTTTACCTTTTGGAAAATTTCTGCTGGGAATGACATCATCATTCCCATTTGTCATCGTAGAAAACGTTGGCAAATTTCACATACTTGTCTTTTTTCAAATAAAAATAATCTATCAGCATTGTTAAATGGCTCCGTTTAGTGTTTTGCCACAGACAACCAGCAAACCTGTGTGTGATGCAAAGAATTTTTAGGGTCATTTTGTATCTTGTAACAAAATTTTGTAAAATTTTAAAAAAGCCTTTTTACTGCTGTTAACATTTTGTAACAGGTTAACTGCAGTGTGTTGCAGTGAATGTCATGTTCTCTCCTCTGCCTAGAATGTTCTTCCCTCAGGCCTCCTCCCCTCTTCGATTATGCTTTTTATAACTAAGGTTAGGATCTCTAACCCACCTTGATCCTGAATTAAATGTCCTTCTTTGTGAGCGAAGAATATTCTGTGTATGTCTCTGGTACTGCATTTATCATTGGTGTTTTGTCATTGTTGTTTGTTTTATGTCTATGTCTCTTCCCCATTGTACTGCAAGTTCCTTGACGGCAGCAACCATATCTTAACCTACACAATTTGAACTTTTTACCTGCTCAAAAAATCCTCCATCAGAGTTTTAGCAGGTTTTGATTAAAAGAATGGGCCAGTCACTTGTATCTGCTGCCATGAAACTTCTAAGGTAGACGGCTGACATATGCATTCATGCCTACCTGAGTAAACAGAGATTTAAAAACCCTGTCCCATCCACAGTGAAGATGCAGTATTAATTGTATTCAGTATCCCTCTCCCCTTTCACTAACTTGACATTATTTCTGATCTCCTTTAAAATGGAAAAATAATGTTTATTTTTCTTTTACTTTTTAGCCTCCTAACCTCAGAATCCTTTTTCTTTTCGTTTTTGGCTTTGCAGGCTTTGGATGGATTTTTCTTTGTTGTGAACTGTGAAGGGAGAATTGTATTTGTGTCAGAAAATGTGACCAGCTACTTGGGTTACAATCAAGAGGAATTAATGAATACCAGTGTCTACAGCATACTGCATGTAGGGGATCATGCAGAATTTGTGAAAAACTTGCTACCAAAATCACTAGGTATAAAGAAAATCATTCTTTAAAAGAACACTATGTAGCTTGTTTTTAGATAATATAATAACATTATTATATGTCTTATGCATAACATTCTTTTAATATGTGTTAATATGTAATATAGTTAAACATTTTAAAATGTAGTTTAAGCTTCAGGTGTGATTATGAAAGGGAAATGTCATCAAATAGCTGATGGAGAATTATTTTCTTTCTCTAGATTGTGCCATGGACAAGTGACAGTAGTGGGAGGCAGAGTAGTTAGTTGCTTAGCACAAGAAGCTTTTGCTTGAAATTCTCTTTGTTTTCAATTGTTATCAATTCCACAAAAGAGACAGATGTATATCCTACACACCACTCTGACCAAAGGGGAAAAAAGGGAAGAAGGGTAGAAGGATGGAAAGGCAGGAGGGATGATGGAAGGGAGGAATATCCTGTCATATTACACACGTATTAAAATTAATAATTTGGGATATAAGGGGTCTCAATTCAGGAGTTCCAAATATGGTTGGCCAGGTTGTTGACGGCCAAAGAAACTTAGCTGAGAGGATCAAAGGGGTCTGACACCAGCCTCTATTTCCTTCCCTTGATCATCTACCTGCTCTGCCTACTTGTGCTCCAAAATTGGGGTGAGGGCCTTGGCTAGAAATCCTATGTAACTAAACCAGAGATGCAGGTAAAGTATTATCCATAGCTCTTTAATTTTCATATTGTTCCCTTGCTGGGATGGAAGCCTAGTTTATCTTTGAAATGAGTAGTATATATTTTATAGTAACTTGAGAGTCTGATTATTTCAGTTAAGTCACTAGTCTAATATTTAAATTATCAAAGGGTCTTGTGTGTTTTGTTATATAATTTTAGTGTATAAATGACTTTAGAGGTAATGTAGTAGATTCTTTTATTTTGATGAGGCAAAGATTAGTTAATTAACCCCAACCTCACAACTAGTTCATATCAGAACCAAGGCTCCTATTCCAATATAAGTTTGTTTCTGTGATTTCCTATTAAATTTATAAAGTAATGAGATAGTAAAAGAGAAGAAGGGTCATTGGAGAGGATAAAGTAAGAAAAACATTTGGCAATGGTGAGAGAATAGGCTTGAAAACCCACTGACTGCCACTATGGTTTAAATATAACATTGCAACTGGAAAATCATGACCCACCAGCCACACTGTGATTCTCACTTGAAATGAATTGACATCTTTTCTATAATTAAACTCAATTTTCTTGTACTGAATCAGATGACCTTTCCATTTTAACAAGTCATTTTTATGTAACAACTTATTGATTACCCACTATATCCGAAGTGTTGTAGCATATAAACTGTACTAATGAAGTGCAAGAAAAGAAATGGTTTTAAGAAACCAAGATTAGTCCCTATTCTAAATATTTTTTGAGTCACAGACTCATTTCAGAAACTTAATCCTCTTCTTGAAAAAATACACTTGCACACAAAGGCCCTTCCTTAAGAATCCATGACTGCCAGGTTAAAACCACTGCTTAACAAGGAACCTATGGTTTTCAATTATTTCATTCATTGCCAGAATTTACCTGGAAACAAACAGAAAAACTCATTAATTAGCTGGCATAAAATTCTGAGCAAAAGAATTAGTAAGCTATTAATTTAAAACTTTTGCCTTTAACTGCTTATGAAGACTATTAAGTTATGTCTTATCTTTGAAGGTGGAGATCCTATACAGTTTCTGGAAAATTTCACGGTTTTCTAATTGTTAGACATTTAGATTTGCTAAGAAAGATAATGCCAGACCTGAAGAGGTCAGTCTGTCTTTTAATCTGCGTATCTAGTTAAGCAGATGACTTAGAGAATGTCGTGTCTATCTTCAGAGTGTACTTTTCCCTTTATTCACAGCATTATAATGAATTTTCTTCCATAGTAAATGGAGTTCCTTGGCCTCAAGAGGCAACCCGACGAAATAGCCATACTTTTAACTGTAGGATGCTAATTCACCCTCCTGATGAACCAGGCACCGAGAACCAAGAAGCTTGCCAGCGGTATGAAGTAATGCAGTGTTTCACTGTGTCACAGCCAAAATCAATTCAAGAGGATGGAGAAGGTAAACAAAGGGTGATTTTAAGGTGTTTGATTACTTTTTCCATGGCTTTCAGAACAGAGAGCTAATTGACTATAAGTTGCTTTCTTCGGATAGCACATGTTTGTGTCATAGTGGCTGTGTATTTATTAATGCTTAAGAAAAAACTTGCTAACATGTAGAATCACCCCTCTTAAATGTCCCCAAATTTTCAGTTTTAAGCTGGCATTCCCAATCAAATGTCAAATTCAAACCAACTTTCTGCCTAGAAATAAGAGATGTAACTAACTGCTGCCAGTTGGAAATGTACCAGATACAGCAGGCTGTTGAACAGTTCTGATTTTTAGAAGGTTTCAAGTTTAGAGTGTAGGGAACACTGGAAAATAGAGTTTGCATTTTTGAGGCCATTCAAGGTAATTTATAAGGAGAAAGCTCGTGAACAGATATAAACACAGCTGAAGCTCTAATATGAACATAGTATAACATGGAATTAGGTACATGACAATGGACGAGTTTTCCGTGTGAGCTTAGACTGAACTGAGTTTAAAATGCCACAAATTGGAAACTGGAGTAAGGACCGGAGAAGATAGTAGATAAGAAGTCAATCAGATGCAAAAAAAAAAAAAAAAAAAAAAAAAAGACCGTGTATGTAGCAGAGAACAAGTGCCACCACCCACTGGGAATTTTTCACAAAATATACATGTGAGTCTGCTTTACTTAATAAAAGCTCATATTTAGCTGTTAGCTATATTGAATGTATATGATATCTCAAAGAAAATTGGAAATGAGACTTTGAATAATATATATATTTAAAAACAAAATCCTCTGTTGGAGGAAAAAAAAATGCCTCTTCAGAAATAGTTAAAAATTTTCTTATATGTGGGCCTCCCTGGTGGCACAGCAGTGCAGCGCTGGGTTGCAAAGCTGCCCGCAGCCTCTGCGGCGCCGGTTCAATCCCCGGCTGCTCCCCGGCCACCGGAGGAGGGTCCCACATGGCGCGCAGACCTCTCCTGCCGCCCGCTGCTCCCCTCAGCAGTGTACTTCGGTCCTTCTGCCTGCTCTGCTCCCTGCTCTGGCTCTGGTGAATTCTCTCACTCTCCCGCGCTTCTGACTGTACCCAGTGCTTGTATAAGTAAATAAATAAATCTAAAAAAAAAAAAAAAAATCACATTTAAAAAAAATTTTTTCTTATATGAGAATTACTGTCTGCACAGTGGTTAAAAACTAATCTTTGTATGGGGCCTCCCCGGTGGCGCAGCGGTTGAGCGCTGGGTTGCGAAGCTGCCCGCGGCCTCTGCGGCGCTGGTTCGATCCCCGGCTGCTCCCCGGCCACCGGAGGAGGGTCCCACATGGCGCGCAGACCTCTCCTGCCGCCCGCTGCTCCCCTCAGCAGTGTACTTTGGTCCTTCTGCCTGCTCTGCTCCCCGCTCTGGCTCTGGTGAATTCTCTCACCCTCCCGCGCTTCTGACTGTACCCAGTGCATGTATAAACCAAAACAAACAAACAAATAATAAATAAATAAATAAAACATGCCTCTAGAAAATTAAAAAAAAAAAACTAATCTTTGTATGGCCTCCCTGGTGGTGAAGGAGTTAATCTCAGTGCTATCAAGCTATCACCAGCCACCACAGCAGGAGTTAAATCCCTGGACAGGGAGCTAACCCAGGTGGCATGGCAGACCTCTGCTGTCTCGCCTGCTGCTCCCCTCAGCAGTGTGTTTCAGTAGATCCACCTATTCTACTCCCCTCTGTCTCTGGTGAATTCTCTCTCTCTCTCTCTCTCTCTCTCTCTCTCTCTCTCTCTCACACACACACACACACACACACACACACACCCTCTGGCCTACACCAGTTCTTCTATGTATAAATAAATAAATCTTTTAAAAAAGATAATCTTTGTAGCCATTAACTACTTTTGAGTATAGGAAATTATCTAGATAAAAAGCCCTACTGTGTTGCTTAAATCTTGCCAAACTGCTTTTCTGACTCTTTATTATCCAAGTACATGAGATGGTTCAGTCACCTCTAGTTTATATAAGAACATTCAATGGGAAGGGATAATTTATGTTAATAAGATCTTTACATGGAGATGCCAGTTTTGGTTGCCAGCAATCTTATATCTACTGTACTGTTAGATCAGAATGATTTCAGTATTGTATCAGCTACTATAACATGTATTTCTATAAAAGCCACTTATTGGAAATGATAAATATGAACCATTTTCTACCCTCTTTCCTTCAATTTTCCCTCCTTGTTTTTCTTAGACTTCCAGTCTTGTTTGATTTGTATTGCACGGCGATTACCTCGGCCTCCTGCCATCACAGGAGTAGAATCCTTTATGACCAAGCAAGATACTACAGGTATTAACTGCAAAATTCAGAATGCTCCATCATTATGCTCCATCATAATGTTTCAGTATTATATGTCACTGGGCCTTTAAAACTAATTACATCCAAAATAATGTAATTATAAATCTAGCAGATACTAAAGAGAACACAGAACCAGCCTACCCATTTTACAAATGAGGGAATGGTGACTTTTCCAGAGCCATACAGTTGATTGGTAAGAACAGACATCTTTAGCTCTTACCACTACCTCACACCATACATAAAAATCAACTCAAAATGGATTAAAGAACTAGACATAAGACCTGAAACCATAAAATACATAGAAGGAAATATAGGCGAAACACTACATGATGTCCACATCAAAGACATCTTTACAGACACATCACCCAAAGCAGTGATAGTGAAGGCAAAGATAAACAGCTGGGACTACATCAAATTAAAGAGTTTCTGCACAGCAAAAGAGACAATAACAAAAACAAAGAGAAACCCCACTGACTGGGAGAACATTTTTGCATACAACACTAATGATAAAGGACTGATCACAAAAGCTGATGAGACTCAACAACAAAGAAAATAATCCTGTCAAAAAATGGGCAGAAGAGCTAAAAAGAAACTTCTCTGAAGAAGAAATGCAAATGGCCAACAGGCATATGAAAAAATGTTCAACATCACTTATAATCAGGGAAATGCAAATCAAAACTACCATGAGATACCATCTTACACCAGTGAGAATGGCACATATTAAACAAACTAGCAACAACAAATGTTGGCGAGGATGTGGAGAAAAAGGAACTCTCCTGCACTGTTGGTGGGAGTGCAAACTGGTCCAACCACTATGGAGAGCTGTGTGGAGATTTCTGGACCTGCTAAACATAGAGCTTCCATATGATCCAGCAATTCCACTCCTAGGTATTTACCCAAAGGACACAGAAACATCAATTCCAATGAGCACCTGCACTCCTATGTTTATAGCAGCACTGTTTACAATAGCTAAGCTTTGGAAACAACCCAAATGGCCAAAACTAGATGACTGGATCAAGAAGATGTGGTACATACACACCATGGAATATTACTCAGCATTCAAAAAAGATAAACACATGCAATTTGCAGCAACATGGATGGCGCTGGAAGAGATCATGCTCAGCAAAATAAGCCAGAAAGAAAAAGAAAAATACCGGGTGGTCTCACTCATAGCAGGAATCTAAAAAACTTAAATAAGGGACCAGGAAAATGAGTAACTATAAGAAAGTGAAAATCAAAATCAACAAAAAACTATGAACCAGAGACACTCTATGGGGGGTGGGGTGCGGGGAGGGGAGGGATTGAGGTCAAAATAAGGGGTTTGCAATTGAATGGGGAATATAAAAATAAAATTTATTTTTAAAAAATGCCATGAGGAGGGGAAAAAAAAAAACAGACATCTTTAGCTCTTAATATAGAACTTTTCCTTTATTTTGCATTGCCTTCCATCAAAGCATTATTAAGTGGACATCACTGTACTGTATATATTTACTGTACAAAAGATACCAGAGGAAATATAGAATAAAATGATGCCAGAGAAATAAATTTTTTAAGTTGTTATTTTTATCCTTAAAATGTAAAACTAATACTCTATTATAGCATATAATTGATTTGGATAAAAAATAACAAGCTAGCTTTAAGTATTAGATATTCAGTTCCTTTAATTTTAGAAGTACATTTAACCGTACATGGAGCAGTCCATGTTCCTTAAAAAAAGAAGATCTTTTACCAGGAAATGCTGAGCAAAGGTTTCATTGGTTGGTTGGTTGGTTGGTTGGTTGGTTGGTTAATTAATTTCCTCTAGTCACTAGAGATATTCTAGGTCAAACTATACCTGAATCTCTTCTAATATATCATTGCACTGCCCAATCATTTTGTTACACTTTCTCCCCTCCAGCTCTACAATTTCAGGTTCTTCTTGCTCTCTTGTGGGCCAGTATGTACATGAGCACATGAGTGCATGCATTACACACACAAATACACACATGTGCATTTCCCCTGGTCACTGCCCATGAGAGGTATTACTGCATACTAAGTTTATCTAACAGTGAATTCTCTACTTTAAGATGCTCAACATTTTTTACTGATGTGTTTAAAATGGTCTCTTAATTAAAAGTTAAGGAGAGCATTTTTAAAGACTTAAAGTAGAATAAATGGAGATATATTAATTTTATGGCACTTAAAAATATAATATCCTACAAGAAAGTGAAAATCAAAATCAACAAAAATCTATGAACCAGAGACACTTTTGGGGGGGGGGTGGAGGGAGGGGAGGGATTGGGGTCAAAATGGGGTGGTTGAAATTGTATGGGGAATATAAAAATAAAATTTATTATAAAAAAAATAAAAAAATAATATCCACACATATAATTTCATTTAATGCAAGTTCAATTTAAGTTTTTTAATTGAGTTAACATTGGCTTACATTGTATATATTTTAGGTTTGTAGGCTCATACTTCTTACAGTATATCTTACCACATTACATGAGTGGATTACCAACTCTTAATCTTTGACATAATAAGAGGCAAAGATGAAATAATTGAAATTCTTAGAAAGTCCAAAATTATCTTTTATTTCAGCAGTGTTCACCAGCTTTACCCAAGCTGTTCTTAAATAACAAAACTCCTTTAAGTTTTAATTTTTCTTTCTACCACCTAAATTAGACTTGGGCAACATCTAAGTTTGACACATCTACACATTCAAGTCTCTAAGTTAAAGAGGGTTAATAAATACTTTATTTCTAAACCAAATGAATATATAAAGGAGAGATTAGTTAAAGGGAGGAGCCACTTGGGCCTCCCTGGTGGCAAAGGGGTTAAGTCTGTGTTATCAAGCTATCACCAGCCACTGCAGTGTGAGTTCAATCCCTGGCCAGGGAGCTGAACCCCTTGAGAGGCATACCTCTCCTGTCTCACCCACTGCTCCCCTCAGCAGTGTATTTCAGTAGATCCACCTGTTCTGCTCCCCACTCTGTCTCTGGTGAATCCTCTTAGCCCCCACATCTCTGGCCTATACCCCAGTTCTTCTATGCATAAATAAATCTTTAAAAAAAAAAAAAGAGGAGCCACAAACAGTACAATAGATTTGAATTGATTTTATGAAAAAAGGGAAGATGAGGAAAAAACACATCCAAGCATTCACAGAAGAAGAAATTATGGGTGGTGAATAAACATGAAAAATTCTCAAATTAATTGGGAAAATACAAGTTTAATTCATAACCATTTTCCATCTGCTTATTGTGAAAAAATAAAGAAACCTGATAATACTAAGCGATAGAGAGAATGTTGGATCAACAGTAACTTTTATATACATTTCTGCAAAACAACATGATGTTATAAAGTTGAATATTTGTATTTTCTATGACTCAACAGTTCTATTCTTCCATATGCATCCTAGAGAAAGTCTTACACACATGCATTCTGAAAATTGTGCAAGATGTTGATAGTAGCATTGATTGTAATGGCAAGAAACTGGAAACAGTTTAAATGCCCATTGACAGGAATATGAAAAGGCAGAGGGATGTGACAAGTAAGGAGTTCACACACAATGGAATGGTATTGGTAATAATCAACTTCTGTAGCTGGGTGATGGGTTTACAGGTTTTCAATTTACTAATCTAATTTTTATATATGTATATAATTTATTTTATATGAATATAAGATCATATAAAGAATAAAACATCTGAATAATCACAAACTAGAGTAATAATTTACCCTTTATTAACAAAGGGATAACTTACCTGAACTATTCCATAGCCATTTGGAAAATGTGTTCAGATACGATGAAAACATCAAATCACCACTAGATTTCATAAAGATATATTCTGTGTATAGGATGCCTAATAAATCTTCATGTTTTCACTTGTTATTTTTCTAATCTCACTTCAGGTATTTATGGTATGACTTAATACTTGACTGGAATTTAATTTTAAAATATGATATTCTAGTATATTTAGTCCAAGGCCAAAAATAATTTGTATTATCATGTCACTGACATGCTGCATTACCATATATAATAAAAATTAATAGTGCTTTTTAAAGGTTGTTACAGATGTGGGGGGAGGCAGAATATTTCTTTATTGTAGTTGTTAATTTGAAATATGGGTGATTTATGAGGCTATCATAAATGTAAATTTCCATTCTTTATTTAGGTAAAATCATCTCTATTGATACGAGTTCCCTGAGAGCTGCTGGCAGAACTGGCTGGGAAGATTTAGTGAGAAAGTGCATTTATGCTTTTTTTCAGCCTCAGGGCAGAGAGCCATCTTATGCCCGACAACTATTTCAAGAAGGTAAAGTTTTTCCCTCTTACTTACTTTCATTAACCTTGTTCTTTATTAATATTGAGTAATTTATGTAGAATTCATGGCTTGATAAGTATTTTCTCCAAATTACAGTTTTTGCAATCAGTTTTAGGAAAGGAAGAAATGGGTAAGCAAAGTAATTCATGAGTGGATCCTGAAATTTGGGATGCACATTTTAAAGGACAGGATATCATGTGATGGTCACTCATTCATTCATCCATTCATTCAGCAGACATACCAAGTTCCTCACATGCATAGAACACTTTGTCAGGTACCAAGGATACATTGATGACTAAGAAGTAGGGTTTTGTCCTCAAGGGGCTCAAAATATATCAGTAGAATATATGACAACTTTAAATTAGTATGGCGAGGGGTATAATAGAGATCTGATCAAAGAAGAACAAAATTCATTTTGACATGGAAAATCCAGGATGACCTTAGAGGAAGTGATATTTTTGTCTAGCTCTTGAAGATCATTCTCAGCAGAGTAAGGGCGTCAGAGGGCGTCTGGATAATGCAGAGAGCTATATCATGAATGTTTACTTAATGACTATTACAATACCTGTATCTCCTGACTGAAGTTTCAAGTGAAGAAACACAACACATGAAATTATTAATTAGTAATGTAATAGCTGCTGTGTCATAGAAAGTACCTCTGGAAGTATAAAGCAAATATATTTTCCTACTGGTATAGAACTTAACAAGAAAAGTAAGGAAAATGATAGGAGAATTAAGGCCAGAAAGAACATAGAGATTCAGACCTAAAGGATTTTGATGTATTTAAAGTGTTATTGTATAATTATGGTAACCTAATATTCCTTTCCCAGTGTAATTGTCCAATCTCTAAGTAGTTTCTTCGGGAAGAAACTCTTTATATGGCTGTTCCTAAAAAACAATTTTGAAAATACTTTTCATTATTCCTTCACTGTTCTTATACATTTCCCATATACTAATGGGAAGGATATTCCATTCATTGCATTTTAGGTCAACTACTTCCTAATGGTTTGTGAAGGAAGTAGCTTGATTTTTTTTTTTTTTTTCTTCAGGAAGCCATCTATATAAATCTCACTGGCTTACTTCTGGGATAGCTTTGTATTGACTCATGGTTTCCATTTAACCTCTTACTGTACCAATACCATTCCCAAAGATGGTATTTCCACAAATAGGGTTAAGAATCTTTATTTTTAAAAAGTTTCCAGGGCAGTCTTCAAGTGTAGTCAGGTCTGGGAGCATTGCAATAAGCAACTAATATCATCCACTGGTGCAAACTTTGTGACTCTATCTGCTGAGTATGGTGCTTGTCTTATACATCAGTTTGAGACTCAAAGCACTGTCTACTGACTCCTGAAAGTGCTGAAAGATACAATACTCTTTGGTTGTTGCCATAACCTTTTAAGTTTGTACTTCTAAGGATTCACTTAAAATGCTTTAATTTTATTTTCCTATAATTTATATACCTTTCCACCAGGCAAAGCAGGTTGAGATTGCTGCCTCATCATCCAAAGTACTAAGCTCCATATAGATGTTATTGAGCTACAGATTAAAGTATGTGTTTTTAAATCATTACAATCCTCCATAAAATAGGTTGATTACAATGTAGTAACTTAAGGAAAAGATTCTATAGCCACAGTTGGAGATTTTAATATGCAGTAAAGACATAGAAGACCTAAAAGATCCTATCTATCACCTTCAACAAATTGATATGGATCATCACTATGTGATTTGTTTAAATCACATAGAGTATGTTGTTTGACCACAGTGGAGATAAGTTAGAAATCAATAAAAGTAAGATAGCTATGAGCTGCAAAAAATGTCCAAATATTTGGATATGAGGCAGCATACTTCTATATAATCATTTTTTATCATAAGGGACTCATAAAAATATTTTGAACTATAGGATAATGAAAATAAAGCATTCCAAACTTTGTGATATTTAAAAGAAATAGTGTAGCTAATCTGCCATATACATATGAAGTGAAAGCAGAGTAACATTGTGTTGAGGAGCCACTGGTCTCTCAAACATGTAAAGGTACAGATTTGCCTTTTCAGTTTCCTTGCTGCCTCTTCACTTACAGTGTGAAATGAGTGAGACAAACTCTGCCTCTGTATCCTTGATTTTGTTTGAATTTTTCAAAAATTTGAAAGTTTGTAAAGCTTTACAGTGATTGATATTTAGGCATGAAAATTTTGCCCTACATCTGTTCTTTTTCTTGTCCATTAAGTTACTCTTTGAAGGCTGGTATAAAATCCTAATACATATTTAAAATTAAGTTCTTAATATAGTTTTTCAGCTGCTTTTGACAGACGACAGCTCATGGACTGCTTTTAAAAGGAAGTTTTATTATTTATTTATTTTCGAGAATCAAATTTGAAAATGCATTTCAGCCAAAGACTGTAATATATAGGAACATTCACCATGAACTAGATTTATGCAGTAATTCTCTACAGAGATTAAATTGGTTATCAAGAACACCTGAGGCATTTTTTTTTTTTAACTAGGAAAAGTTTATATAGTTCCTAGGATCTGTTCCATTCAGAACAATTCCGTTAAAGAAGATTCTAGGTTACAATGCTTCCCAAAGGTCCCTGATAAGATTCATATAGGACAGTTGTTTTTCAACTAGATTCCTGGAGCCCAGCCACATTACTGAATTGAATCAGTCTATAGTCTGAGATATGTTCTTACAGAGAAGTTTGGAAAACAGAAACTTGGGTTCCACAAGCTATTAATAGGAAATGATCTTTCATGTTTAATTAATAAGGTTCAGAAGTGCTTCAGTCTCCCACTTTAGGGGAATTCATAAGACTATTATAAGGTCAAGATAGTTACGTTTGTGGAAAGTTCTACAATAAAGGTACCTGTTTGGCTTTGTTACCCATTTGTATTTTCCTTAGAATACTTTTTTCCTGTAGTATACCCACAAGTACTTAGAGAGAGAGTAGTAGTCTTGGCAAATGCTGAGCAAAATAGCCTAAAAAGGTTTCACGAAAGTTCTTTTCCCTATTATCAGTGATGAAATGGATCATCATTTCTTATCTTTGAAAAATGTCCATGATATATCATTGTATTAAAAAGTAGGCTAAGAAAACAAATAAAGTAGACTATGAAACAAACACAATAGTAGGCTAAGAAAACAGCATATATAGTATGATCTTACTCTTGTATCTCTATCCGATTCTAGAGGGTTAGCAAAATGTTAACAATGGTTATATCTGCTAAAATTGCAAATGACTTTTCTTTTTACTTCTTTCTTCATTTCTCTATTATCTTAACTTTATAATTACAAAATAAAATCATTTTCATTAAAAAAGAAAACTCCATGAGATAGTTGGAAGTTAATAGTATCAACAAGTTTGGAAGCATTGCTATAAAACATAAGTACCCATATATAATGATTAACCAGAATGTTCTTTAACTCCATAGTCCATGTAACAGTGTTAATTGAAAATCTTTTTATGTCAAATTTTGTTGAAAATGTTTTTTTGTTTGTTTGTTTTTTTAATAAATTTTATTTTATATTCCCCATACAATTGCAACCCCCTCCATTCTGACCCCAATCCCTCCCCTCCCGCCCCCCACCCCTCAAAGAGTGTCTCTGGTTCATAGTTTTTTGTTGATTTTGATTTTTACTTTCTTATAGTTATTCATTTGTTGAAAATGTTTTAAATATGGGTTTTCAAAAATTTGATATATAGAATACAGTTTACTTATTGGTAACTGAAAATTTTTCTAAGAGCATCTAGGGGCACTTTTTTTCTTTATCTTAATAACAATTTTTAAAATTGTATTCTTTCTGAATTTTATCTAGAGAAATACCAAAAAGGAAAAAAAAAAGAATCTCTACCAGCATTGATCCTGACTCACATTTTATATGTGCCCATTTGGTTAACATCAGTAAGGCATGCTTATTGAGATTTGCTGAGCACCAAAATTGAGTAGAGCCAAAACCCAAATATATCTACTTTTAAAGCTACTATAAATAGAGAAAAGTTGGCTCTTTGCTCTCTAGTTCTGCTCAGGTGTAGTTGGTGGGGAGGGGAAAACAGGAAATTTGTCATGTTAAATATTCTTATTAATGGTTTCTGGGGTATCAATAATACCAAATCAATAAAAGCCTCCCTACCAAGTGTTCTAAAAATTTTAGAAATTGACACAAGAGTCAGGGATCAAAATGCAATATAATTGACAGAAACAGATCAGAAAACAGGACTAGAATGTGTGATCAAAGTGAGATTCCAACTAGTTTTGTGCAGGGTAAACCCTGAAATCCAGTAAGAGGGAAAATCTGGTGTGCAGAGCAAATGTTTATCTAACCAGCTCTGTAAAGGATTATAGCTCTCTAAAACATGTCTTAATTTAAAATATAAGTAATTAGCTACAAGGTTGCAGTTATTGCTATAAATGGTGTCTGGGAATTGAATGAATTTATCGCTGAGCATGTGTGACTCAGGACATATATTCTTTGGAAGTTGCTTCTTGTCTGTGATTTTTTGTTTTGTTTTGTTTCTTTCCCATAAACTGTTCTTTCAATATCTGCTATATACAAGGCCTCCTACTAGATATTAGCTCACATTATTACTGGGTCCATTTTAGTGATGATGGGCAAAGGTTAATTTGCATTCAGCCCTGAACTTGTGAATGACAAAGTCAGTGTTCAAGCATGAATCTGACTCCTAAGGCTTTGTTCTTTTCATTGATTCATGCTACCTTCTTGTTTACCTCTCCATCTGAACAGTTGAGCACCAGAAGGATTTTGGTTAGCTGGAGTCTTAATTAGATTCTAATTAATTGAAGTCTTTTACTATATATTTAATATTGCATTTTTTCCTTTCAAAGAATATGTAAATTACGATGTGCTAAGCAATAGGAGTTCCCCAATTTTGGGCTTATTACTAATTTAGATACAGTCCTACAAATTAAGGCAGCATATTTACCGAAGGACTGTTTCTGCAATCTACATGAAGTATCTTGATTCCGGTGCTAGCCTGAGTTTTGAGTTCTTTTCAACAAAGTAAGAAATTTCTCTCCATTAATTTCCATTTGTAAAGTAAGTCTAGAATCATTCAAGAGTAAAGTTATAAACTGAGGTGTAATATAGGCATTTGAGAACATAATTGAGAATTAAAATCTATCCTCTAAAGGTATAGCAGTTGGTCACAAGTAAAAACTAACCTATTTAGATGAGATTCAAATTGAGGATTAACTAATAAGTATTCACATGTAAAATATCATGCAAATAAAGAGTAGAAAACAAGAATGGAACATGAGACTAGTCCTTATGTTGATTCTAGCTGAAGAAGAAAAATAAATGTGTAAAATGTTAACTACGTCCTATTCCAAGAGATATATAAGATGTGTTTATGAATTAATGACAAATAAGATCAGAAATATAACTTGAAATCAGATTATATAGAGCTTTGTTGTCAGCATAGTAGCCACTGGTCTCATGGAGCTTTTGAGTATTTGAATTATGGCTAGTGTGACTGAGGAACTGTTCTAAATTTTATTTAGAACAAGTGATGTGACTGGTGGTTATCGTATCGTATTGTGAATCTTTTTTAAAATTTATTTTTATGAATTTTTTTAATTTTTTACATCATTGTTCATTTTTAAACAATATTTGCTTCCCCCCCAAGTTAGTCCCCATAGTTTCCTTCCCCAATGCACCCATGCACCATCACCTCAATCCCCTGTGCTTCTCCCTCCCTTCCTCTGATCCCTCTCCCTCCCACTCCCCTGCAGTATGTCTCTGATTTATAATTGTCCATTTTTGCTTTGTTGTGTTTTATACTGTTGTTATTTACACTGATGTCTTATTTGGTTCCCCTATATTCCTGCTATAAGTGAAACCATCCAATATTTTTCTTTTTCCTTCTGGCTATGATTCCTTCTAGCTCCATCCACGTTGCTGAATTTATCTTTTTTGATTGCTTAGTAATATTCCATTGTGTATATATGCCACATCTTCTTGATCCAGCCATCTATTTTTGGGCATTTGGGTTGTTTCCAGGTTTTATCTATTGTAAATAGTGCTGCAATAAACATAGGTGTACAGGTTTTCTTTTGAATCAGTGTTTCTGTGTCCTTTGGGTAGATCCCTAGGAGTGGAATTGCTGTGTGGTATGGTAGCTCCATTTTCAATAGACTGAGGAACCTCCAGACAGCTTTCCATAGTAGTTGGACCAGTTTGCTCTCCCACCAGCAATGTGGGAGCGTTCCTTTTTCACCACATCCTTGCCAACATTTGTCGTTGCTTGTTTTCTTGATGTAACATTCTTACTGGTGTAAGGTGGTCTCTCAATGTGTTTTTGATTTGCATTTCCCTGATGATAAGGGATGTTGAGCATTTTTCCATATGCCTGTTGGCCATTTGCATTTCGTCTTTGGAGAAATGTCTTTTAAGTTCTTCTGCCCATTTCTTGACTGAATTGTTTATTTTGTTTTTGTTGAGTCATGTGAGTTCTTTGTATATCATTGTGATCAGTCCCTTATCAATTGACTGGAGTGCAAAGATTTTTCCCCAGTCAGTGGGGTGTGTCTGTTTTGGTTAATGTCTCTGTTGCTGTGCAGAAGCTTTTCAGTTTGATGTAATCCTAGGTGTTTATCTTTTCCTTAACTTTCTTTGCTTTGGGTCATGAGTCTTTAAAGATGTTATTGCGATGTATGTCTTGTAGTGTTTGACCTATATTTTCTTCTATATATTTTATGGTTTCAGGTCTTATATCCAGTTCTTTTCTCCATTTTGAGTTGATTTTTGTGCACGGTGAAAGGTAGTGGTTTAGTTTCATTTTTTTGCCTGTGGTGGTCCAGTTTTCCCAGCACCATTTATTGAACAAACTTAGACAGTGAATCTTAATGGTGAAGAGCCATTGATTGTTTTCCAGCAGAAGAAGAGGTTCTGAAGAAATAGACAAAATGGCATAAGCAAAATCACATGAACTCTATTGTGTCTTACATTTATGTAACCTTATCATCATTATGATAATGATTTATCCCAGGATAATAGTTTATTTTAAAATGCCACCCTTTTGTTGCAGTTTTATTTTCCAAAATGTATTTCCAAAATAAATTGTTATTTTCCAAAATATATTGTTAAAAAGATTTTCCAAAATATATTGTTAAAAATGAGAATTTTTCATGTTTTTAAAAAAGATTTTGCTATATTATACATTTTCTTGTTATCTTACAGAAAAATTACCAGTTTCCATTAAGGACACATTTTTCATCATTTGTTTTTTGACTAGATTCTAAATTTTTCCATGTTTTAGTAAAAATGCCAATGATTTGTCTTAAATTGCTAGAGGGGTAAGGAATGTGGTTGATTGGGCATAAATCATAATCCTTTCAATTAAGTTTATATCCTGGTTTGGGTACATAGGCGGATCTGTGTGTGGTATAGATTAGCAACAGATTATGCCCCCCTTAGTTTATACTGTACAACCAGGACAATAAAATAGAGCATGTCTGCGCATTACTTAAAGTAATATGTATCTTCAGAAGTTGTTAGTTGGTCATTTTAGTCTCTTTCATGTCTCTTTAAAGTGTAATTGAAGCCCTTTCTGAGATGTCTTGAAAAATAGCACTAAAACATGTATTACAGGCTAAATTGTAATAGTCATTTGGGATAGTAATTCTTGTGTTTCTTTCAGTAGGCATAATTTTTAACTTTGGTAAAGCTGATTATTAAATTAAATCTTTCTTAAAAGTGGATTTTATTAGTAAATCATCAATTCTTAGTCATCTGGCATAGCCTTTATATATTTAGTAAATACCAATTTGCTTAGAATTTTATCTGCTATTAAAGCTGTACAACATAAGTAAGTTTTCTTGTTTATGTAGTGACTTGACTTGACTCCTTAATTTAGCTTTTGTTCCTTGTATTAATCATCACTGGCTTTATCTTAATTTGCTTACTAAACTACATTCAAACATCAAAAATAATACATATATATAATACAATAATTTGTTAAATGGGACTGTAGTGATTCATATTCCTGAGTGATAAGTTAAATTTGAATTTTGGTTAATAAACTCTGCAAATTAATCAAAGCATAGAGGATAAGTTTATGGTATCTGTTAATAAAAAATCAGACATCCCAAGAAAAAAAAAAACTTATTAGAGGTAATACTGAAAGTGAGAGTGGAGATTATATCCTTGTATTTTTAATGTACACTCAATAAATTTGACGAGCTACCCCATTGTAGGTAAATATTAAGGTTGATTTTTTCCTCCCTATTTGGAGTTTCTTCATAACCATAACTTACGTGAGGAGGCACTCATTCCAGTAGGACTAAATTAAAACTTGTCACCAAATGATATATTTCAATGAAATAAATTTTCCCCCTGAGATATTTGCTTTGTCTGAACTATTCTTTCCTTTGAGTCTGAGCAGGTAGCGCTTGTGGGAGGGGGCGGTTATAAAGGAGGTTCTAGGTAGAAATAAAGTTTGGTAACTCTCCTTTGCCCAGAGTACAAGTGTCCGAATTTTAACTAGGTTTCTCTTTTGTTTGACACAGTGATGACTCGTGGCACTGCCTCCAGCCCCTCCTATAGATTCATATTGAATGATGGGACAATGCTTAGCGCCCACACCAAGTGTAAACTTTGCTACCCTCAAAGTCCAGACATGCAACCTTTCATCATGGGAATTCATATCATCGACAGGTACTACTTATTTGGAGAGCTTCATATGAAATAAATCAGTTCACATATCTCAGAGAAAAATTTTTATGCTCTTGATAGAAAACAAACATTCCAAATTAGGCATTAAACTAGTGTGATGAGTATATAATCAATAGATACATACTGGGATTTATAGTTTTGTTGCCTAACAATAGCTTTGTTGTTCAGAGAAGGAGTTAGGACGTGTGAGGCTGCTAATATGTGTTTTAGGGGTAAAAACCAAAAAGGGGCTAAAAATTTACAACTTTCCACATGTGAACTTATGGTCTTACAAAAGATTTCAAAGTTTGTTAACATTGTTATTTTTATTTTTTAAAATGCTTTATTTTCATTAGGACAAACTCGATGGCTCCTGAATTCAAGTTGACAGTTTTTCAAAGTATAATTCATTAAGCTATCAACTTGAGATTTTTGAATGTCATTGCCTGTCATTTCCTCTAATTTCTTCTCTTCTCTAAATGTTTTACACTGGCATATATGGTAAATTCATGGAACCATTCTTTTATCCTATGAATTATTCAAAACCCTACATTTACAACTATTAAAATTTAGCATTAAACAAAAACAAAGACATTTCCTCTCACTTCATCTTTTCCTCATCTGATATATTTGCTTATTGGAACATGGTAATACCAGTCACAAACCTTTTGTCATAATTATGGATTTGAGTAGAGAACGCGATGAAAATCTGAATTCAGAATGCTGGCTTTTTCTAATTTTAGTTAATTTATGCTTGTGAGTGGAATTAGCACAGTTCTTTTTTTTCATATTGTGATTTCTCTTTCAAAACATCTGCTGTATCTGCATCTCACCCTTTTTCATTTTTGCATCAGTGACACAGTATTTTCCTTACCCAGTCTTCCTCTTGGAGTTGAAATATTTAAAAGCTGGAACAAGGGAGTCATGAATAAGTGATTTGTAAACAGAAGTGTAGGAAGTTTCTCTTTGAACAAAAGTATTGTTGTAGTGTTAGTTATCTGTATAAATTTCAAAAAGTTTAAATGACACATATTGGATTTTTCCCAAAACCAAGAAGATTTATTTCTCATATAAGATACCATAAGTGCTATTTCCTACTAAGTGGTGCTAATATTTCACAGTAGGAGTAAGTCTACTGTTTTTTCTTAAAGGGATACAGAAGCTCTTTACGTGACAACTTGCACTGTCAGTGAGGTTAATGGTTTTATTTTATAATATATATCAGAAAAATATTTTAATGGAATCTTATGAAGATGTTTGGATAGTAATGTTTCTTTCTTCCCCTTTCCCCAGGGAACACAGTGGGCTTTCTCCTCAAGATGACACTAATTCTGGAATGTCTATTCCCCGAGTAAACCCTCCCATCAATCCTGGCATCTCTCCAGCTCACGGTGTGGCCCGTTCATCCACATTGCCGCCATCCAACAGCAACATGGTATCCCCCAGAGTCAGCCGCCAGCAGAGCTCAGACCTGCATAGCAGCAGTCATAGTAATTCTAGCAACAACCAAGGGAATTTTGGATGCTCACCTGGAAATCAGATTGTAGCCAGTGTTGCCTTAAACCAGGGACAGACCAGTTCCCAGAGCACTAATTCCTCCTTAAACCTCAATAATTCTCCTATAGAAGGTACAGGAATATCCCTCGCACAGTTCATGTCTCCAAGACGACAAGTTAGTTCTGGATTGGCAGCAAGGCCCAGGATGCCAAATAATTCATTTCCTCCTAATATTCCCACATTAAGCTCCCCCGTTGGCATGACAAGTACTGCCTGTAATAATAGTAACCGATCTTATTCAAACATCCCAGTAACATCTCTACAGAGTATGAATGAAGGACCCAATAACTCCGTTGGCTTCTCTTCTAGTTCTCCAGTCCTCAGGCAGATGAGCTCACAGAATTCACCTAGCAGATTAAATATACAGCCAGCAAAAGCTGAGTCCAAAGATAACAAAGAGATTACATCCATTTTAAATGAAATGATTCAGTCTGACAACAGCTCTAATGATGGCAAACCTCTGGATTCTGGACTTCTGCATAACAGTGACAGACTCTCAGATGGAGATAATAAATATGCTCAAACCAGTCACAAACTAGTGCAGCTTTTGACAACAACTGCAGAGCAGCAGTTACGGCATGCTGATATAGACACAAGTTGCAAAGAGGTGCTTTCTTGCACAGGCACTTCCAGCTCCACTTCTGCTAATTCTTCAGGTGGCTCTTGCCCCTCCTCTCATAGCTCACTGACAGAGCGCCACAAAATTCTACACCGACTGTTACAGGAGGGTAGCCCCTCGGATATCACCACTTTGTCTGTTGAGCCTGATAAAAAGGACAGTGCATCTACTTCTGTGTCAGTGACTGGACAGGTACAAGGGAACTCCAGTATAAAACTAGAACTGGATGCGTCAAAGAAAAAAGAATCAAAAGACCATCAGCTCCTGCGCTACCTTTTAGATAAAGATGAGAAAGATTTAAGAGCAACCCCAAACCTGAGCCTTGATGATGTTAAGGTGAAAGTGGAAAAGAAAGAACAGATGGAGCCTTGTAACACAAACCCAACTCCATTGACTAAACCTGCTCCTGAGGAAATAAAATTGGAGTCCCAAAGCCAGGTGGGTGATTGCTAACTTCACAGAATGAACATACCTGGTTATTTTTTCCTTTAATTTTACTCCAGCTATAGACCTGATTTGGATTCAGGCTATGTTTTGTGTTATCCATTGGACATATATTAAAAGGTTAGTATCAATGACAGAAAAATCCCTGGATACCTGCAAGAATTCTCTTTAGAATTTTGGAGGCCTGCAATACTAATGTGGCATTCTGTGAAAGTAGATCTTTCTTTCTTTCTATCAAATCAGAGTTTGCCTTTTTGGAGATTTAAAAATGATACCTTTCCTACTCCCTGTTCCCAACCTTACCTGTTGAATGCAATTCTCTGAGAATAGGACTCAGGGATCTGCATCTCAGAGAAACTTCTTAGAGAACTCTGATGCATAGTGAATTTGGGGGATCTCTGATTAAGTGAAATGGGAGAGAAATGTGAAGAGGTAGACGAGAGGCTGCTTTGTTTGGCTTGCTTTGCTATTAAATTTCCTTTGAAGCCTTTTCTAAGGTTATTTACTTCTTTTGTGATGATGACAACCCTCAACCCCCATCAGAGAATAGGGACTTGGATTATTCTGGGTAGAAGGATATATAAACACACTGTAGAGAAACCTATGCATAAATGCTTATGGATTAGGACATCGATGTTTAGGTTTATTGTCGTTGTTGTTTTTTTGTTTGTGGAGGGTGGGGGAATGGTTTGGGGCAGAGTATAAAATTGATAGTTTCATTTATTGAATAAATTGCTTGTGGACTCTGAAAGTATTTAAGCAACACAGAAAATATGATCCCTTCCTTCTAGGAACTTACAAATAATTATTTGGATAAAAGATAGATATTCAAGAAATAGCTGAAAATTTATTTACAAAGCAGTTTATCAAAAAAACATTGTGAAACAAGATTCACACTTAGTATGCATAGGTCCTTCAGTTTTTTGAGCCAGCTTTATTTTCTGACATCTCACAAAAATCTCTCTTTTCCCTTAGGCATACTGCATTCTAGGCACATGGAAGTCCTTGCCATTCCTGGGATAAGTCATGTCTCTTCTAAGCATCTTCTGCCTTGTTCTCCTTTCTCTGTCTGCTGAACTTCTACTCATCCTTCACAAACCAATTCAGACATCATCTCTGTAAAGCCTTCCCCAGCAGCCCTCGTTAGACATTTCCTTCCTCTCCACTCTAGTGCTTTGTATTGTCTCTACATACTATATAGAATAACACTATTTTGGCTAGTTCTTTACCTGTGTGCTTTTTGCAGAGAAGACTGTCGTGTTTCTTGGTACAACTAAACTAATCATGTGTTTTTAAGCTGAAAAACAACTTTAGATAATAATTATATTAAACCATTACTCTTTAAAAGTAACAGCTTCATAAAATACAGTCATGTGTACAATCCTGTACATCTCTTTTTGGTGCACATATACAGGCATTTCTGCTGAGTTTATATATAGGAGTGGAATTGCAGCATCAGAAGATGTGTGTGTGTTCATTTTTAGTAACTAATGCCAATTTTCCTAGTGTATGAGAATTCCTCCTAGTTGTTCCATGTCCTCGCTGATACTTGTTATTGTCAATCTTTTAAATTCTAGGTGCTCTGGAGTCTGTGTAGTGGTATGTCATAGTTTGATTTGTATTTCTATGATAAATGTTTATTCGTTATTTGGGTATCTTCTTTTATGAACTGCCTAAACTAGTGTCTTGCCCATTTTTTTAATATGTTCTCTCCTTCTTGACTGTTAAGAATCATTTATATGTTTTAATTATGACACCTTTATATAATGGTTATATATTTCAGGTCTCATCTCTATGATGTGGCTTGCCTTTTATTTCGCTTAATGGTACTTTTTGGTAAAGTGGAGTTCTTCATTTTAGGGTTGCCCAGTTTTTCTTTTTTTCTTTTTTTTTATGGTTAGTGGTTTTTTCACATGCATAACAAAAGACACGTTCACAAGTGTTCAGAGTAACTTTTTTGTGCTAGCAAAAAAACTGGAAACATCTGAAATCCATCACAGTTTGAATGGATAAACATATTGTGATATAACATACGTGTGTATGTATTCCATTCATACAATGGAATATTACTCAGCAGCAAAAACGGTGACTAGTGCTACATGTGATCAGATGTCTAAACTTCAGAAATGTAAAGTAAAAGAAGCCCAGACCTCAAAATATGTATATACACAAATAAATCTACTTATGCAAACTATAAACAAAAATTTTAATTAAATCATAAAGGCCAAACAGATATTTTATGTTGATGAATTATCTCAAAATAACCATAGTAGGATAATAAAGCCAGTTAAGCATAACCTTAGACTGATGTAGGGATTATATTCTAGAAGATTTATTTCTCTATTATATCCTCAAGTGGGAAGTCACTTTTCTGGAAACTTTGAAATGGATATACTGTTTACAAAATGGTTTCCCAAACTTTTCTAAATTATTAAAAAAAAGTTATGTAAGTATAAATTTGTTTTTCATTTCATCATAAAAATAGTTTTACAAAATTTTGAACAATATGTCCAAAAAAATCATTCATGATGCTGTCATCATAACATTGTACATTGTACTCTGGACACATTTTCCTAATCCAGCTTTTTTCTAAGGCATAAATTTTATACTGAAACATATTCAATACTATGTGTATATTATCTCATGTCCTTTAGTATATTAATTTATAAACATACAAATTTTTTCTAGTGAAACAGTTCGGTCATATAATTTCAATGAGACCTCAATCTAATAATTTTTTTCTTTCTTCATTATCTCAGAATTACACTAAATTCATAGAGCTTAAAGGAACAACTTTTTTCTACATTGTTTCTGATGTGTGTAGAATATATTGCCACTAATGTTGGTTTCCTTTCTTAGTTTGCAGCTGATCTTGACCAGTTTGATCAGTTATTGCCCACGCTGGAGAAGGCAGCACAGTTGCCAGGCTTATGTGAGACAGACAGGATGGATGGTGCGGTCACCAGTGTAACCATCAAATCGGAGATCCTGCCAACTTCACTTCAGTCCACCACTGCCAGACCCACTTCCAGGCTGACTAGTATGTGTTGAAGGCAAAACCTCATTTTAAATGTTTAATGAAAATGTGGATTAGTGCTTGCTTTGTCTCTCACCATTATTGCACAGACCTTTGTTTGTTAAGAGTGAAATGTGTTTTTTTAATGCCATTCTGAGTAATATACAGTTATATTTAGACATGAACTTCATTCATCATGTGTGTTTTAAAGTACAGTATAACCGGGCCTCCCCGGTGGCGCAGCAGTTAAGCGCTGGGTTGCGGAGCTGCCCGCAGTCTCTGCAGCACTGGTTCAATCCCCGGCTGCTCCCCGGCCACCAGAGGAGGGTCCCGCATGGCGCGCAGACCTCTCCTGCCGCCCGCTGCTCCCCTCAGCAGTGTACCTTGGTCCTTCTGCCTGCTCTGTTCCCTGCTCTGGCTCTGGTGAATTCTCTCACCCTCCCGCGCTTCTGACTATACCCAGTGCTTGTATAAATATAAATAAAAAATATTAAAAAAAAAAGTGCAGTATAACCTCTGCATTTTTTTAAAGATTTATTTATTTATTTATACAAGCATTGGGTACAGTCAGAAGCGCGGGAGGGCGAGAGAATTCACCAGAGCCAGAGCAGGCAGCAGAACAGGCAGACAGACGGAGGACACTGCTGAGGGGAGCAGCGGGCGTGGCAGGAGAGGTCTGCGCAGCATGTAGGACCCTGCTGGTGGCCGTGGATCCAACTGGCGCTGCAGAGGCTGCGGGCAGCCTTGCAGCCCAGCACTCAACCGCCGCGCCACCGGCAAGGCCCCAACCTCTGCATTTTGTAATTAACTCTAAGGCAAGCAGATAATGTTAAGAAGAGTGATGTCGTGTTCTTAACCAAACCCTTCCATAGCAGGACTTATAAAAATATACCATTGGGTCAGATTGTGTTCCCCACAGTGTCTCCCTTGAACACTAGTCTTCTGAGTTGCATAAAAAGTGCTAAAATACCCTGGCAAATGCTATCTGGCTCATACATTATTCCCCTACTAAAGTACTTCAGTTCATATTAAAGATTTAAGAAGACCTATGTAAAAGAAACCAGTTTAGATTTCTTTAACACAGTATTTACTAAATTTCCTTAATTATGAAATTCCTTTTCTCAAGTAATACATGTTACTCCACAGAATGAGTTTTCCATGAAGCACTGTTGAGGAGACAATTATGTTGAAATACATCTCCACTGCTCAAGCCCAGATTAGCATTTTCCTAATTCAGAGAGACTTTGATAGTATAATACTTCAAATTCATGAAGAAAGGGCTGTCAAATTTTTGTCACCTATCAAATTTTGAAGTTGAAAAAAAAACAGTGTTTATAATTCCTTTGTGTTATCTTGAAACTTAAGGAAGCTGTTCAGCTTATTTTCAGAATCTGCCTGGGATCCTGACCTAAATCCTGTCACCCTTCTGATGAGATCAAATGTAGAATTGACTGATTTCAGTCTTACTGCAGCGTTTAGCTGTCTTGATATACTTATTGAAAATTGACCAAGATTTCCAGGCATCTAGAAAGAAGAATCTTGAGTCGTCTCTGACAGTTTGGGAAATTTAGTAAATACTGTGTTATTTCAGCTAGCCAGAAAATAAGATGAGAACAGGAGCTAGAGTCAAATTTCATGTTCTCCATGTAGTAAGTGTTCCCTCGTGCAAATGGATTTTCTGAACCTTATTCTCTTTATCTGCAAAATAAGAATTACATGAAATGACTTTGAAAATCTTTTTAATTGAAACTGAGAGACTTTAGAATCTGAGATATCAGGCACAGGTGGGAAACTATTGGGTGCCAGGATGAAAGGAATAAAATAAAAATCAACATTTTCATTGGTTTACTACTAGCCCCTTTTCTCCATCCACTATGGGATACTGGAGGAGTTTTATCAGGAGACACTGAATATCCAGAAAGATGTCTAGACATGAGTTAAGGGGAGGTCCCTAAAGTGCAAAGGTAATATTGCCATCTAATCATCCTCACAATCAGCCTCCCAGTCAGTGTTTTAGAATACTGATGGAAGTCTACAACTTGAGAGAGGACCAAAAAAAAGCCAAACAGAAAAAAAAAAAAAAAAAACATGCAATAAAACTCTACAATGAGTGCATAGAATAAGAAAGACATTAAAGATTCTGAAAAAAGATATTTTATCCATAATTAATATGGGAAGGGGGAAAAAGGGGGCAAAGATGAAGGAAGAACTTTTAGAAATTTAAAATCTAAAATCTCAAGAGAAATGTTAGATAATAAAACTGAGAAAAAAGTTCCCAGAAAGAACAAAAGACCAAAGGGCAAATAGAAAATAGGGAAGAAAAAGTTAAGATTGATGTAAGGAGAGCCAAACATGATCAATACAATTTCAGAAACAATGAAAGGAGTATGTGGAAATGGAAGAAATGATATTATTAAACAAAATGTATAAACATTTTCTAGAATTGAAGGACATAATTCTCCAGACTTAAATGTTGCAGCAACTATACACTTGAAATTGTTCAACAGGTACCCAAAACACACACACAGACACATTCTGGAGACCTACACCAAAGTTTATCATTATGTAATTCTGGAACATCAGAGATTAAAAGATCCTAACAGCTTTCAGAGAGAAAATATGAATTGCATAGAGTTAATTGGCAAAACTTGAAAGCTATCAAGCCACAAAAAGCATTGAGAAGCTTCAAATGCTTATTGTTGAGTGAAAGAAACCAATCTGAAAAGGCTACAGGTAGTGTAATTCCACCTACATTACATTCTGGAAAAAGCAAGACATAAAAAGATCGGTGGTTGCCAGGGATTCATTGTCATAGGTTGCCAAAGGGAGAGATGAACAGGTGAAGCATGGGGGATTTTTATGACAGTGAAACTATTCTGTATGATGCTGTTATGGTGAATGCCTGTTATTATACATTTGTCAAAGCCTGTAGATACCACAAAGAGCAAGCCTGGATGTAAACAAAGACTTTAGTTACGAAAAATGTATCAGTATTAGCTCATCAGTTCTAACAAATGTACTGCACTAATACAAGATGTTAACAATAAGGGAAACAGCCCAACTAAAAAATGGGCAGACTTTTAAAAGACAGTTTTGGGCAAGAGAAAGGAAAGAGAATAAAGGTTTAGAAAAGGAGCAAGAAAGAAGATGGGGACAAAAATAGGATAGCATATAAAAGGGAAGAGGAGAACAGCCTCTAATCCTCCCCCTTTACCTCTGCGCCCCTACCTTTCAGATGAAGGAGCCCATTGTTGCGTTGCCGTTTCTACATTTTAACCTTTGGCCCAACCAAGAAAATCAAGCATTTTTCCTTACTTTAGTCTTTAACCTTAAGCTGAACTGTGTCAAGTGCAAATAGCTCACATAAGACAGTTTAATTATCATTATATTTCATTGCCTGAGAGACACCAATTAGAACTTCTGGGCATTTGTCTTTTCTTTCATACTTTCCTTTCCCTTGCCCTTTTGCACTGTATTCTGAGCAACTCTCTGGGCCACATTTTTCAAATCAAAGTTCAATCTTCAACCATTTCCACCTATTGAGTTCTTTTCATCATAACTAGCATGCTTTTAATTTCTATAAATTATTTTTCTTTCTTGTAGAAGACTGTTACCTTTATGAAATGATAAATTTATTATACTGTGTAGTGATAAATTTATTATACTTAAAGGTTCATCCATTTTCTTACTAATCCTTTTTTCTTTGAAACTCCTTCCTTCATTAAATCTGCTTTCTCTCCTCATGCTCTTGATTTTTCTTGATTGTTTGGCAAGCTTTGGCTGTCTACTCATATACGCTGCAAAAGACACAGACTGAAAAATGTTGGTAGCTAGAGTGTTTTTTTAGCTAAAAGTGAGAAGCCCTTTACTCTGGCAGTGAATGTAAGTTCTGATTATAGAGGTCCTGTTTTTCACTTGCTGTGCAGGAAGTGGGGGTTGGTGATGGGGAAATCCCTTGTGTAGCTCTGCCTCTGTCTCTGGGAGGTTCCCTGGCGGAACTCGCACTTGAGCCATGTCACTACTAACTCACAGGCAGATGCCAGCAGCAGTTGCTTTCTGAGTGGGCTCTGGGGGTACTGGTCGGCCATTTCAAGGGCCAGTTCCTTCATCTACATGAAGGACCTCTGCTCTTGGAGCTGTCTGGTGTTCTCCTAGGAAAATGCTTCTTTCTGAAAAATCTTCTTTTCGTCTTGTAAGTTTTTTCATTTATTTGAAGATTTGCCATCAGTTTGATTCCAAGTGTTTTTCAGAAACTTTTCGTTGCTCTACTCGTACCCCATTGTTCTTTTGCCTTTCCTTTAGCTGTAGATTTACTTTTCCCTCTTAATTTCTTTTGTTATTTCAGTTTTAGAGGAAGAATAAAATATAGGTACTAATTTTTATACTGGTTTAAGATTATTCTAGATTTCCAAAAGTATTTGAACATTGACAACATCATTGGAGTAGGTGAATGACCTCCTAGGTAGTTGTTTTTGTGACCTCTGAACATACACAGTCCAAGATGACTACTTCTATTTTATTAACTTATAGCATGTTAAAAATACATCATGTGTCTAGAGTTTTGCATAAAACATTTTCAGTACTTAAAAAAAATCCATTTTAATTTTCCTGTTTTTGAGGTTCCATTGAGGGTGTTGTGCCTATTAGCAGGTACCGTTTACTATTATGAAGCTGTAATGAATAGTATCTGATATACAGATAATTTACTGCATATGAGAGTATGTCTAAAATATATATTCTTGTTAGGATTGCTATTTACTAAATAGCCCCAGTCTGCTATGCCCAGTTTCTGTTCCTGCCTTTTATAGAACATATAGAACATATATTTCACCTTTTGCTTGCAACTCTCATCTCATGATAATAACATTTTCCCTACTTATAGTATAGTGTAACATACTGCAGACTAGAAAAAGCAATTAACTAAAATTATTATCATTATCTTTAAAATAAATAATTTCTGACAAAGTTCTGAGTGATTCTCCTAACATTAACTCATGTAATTCATGTGCAAATATCTTAGCTTCAGATTTTCTCTGATTCAGAAACCTTTTCTCACATTCTCATCTACTTGTTGCTATGTAGCTACACTCTAGATAGTTTAAATTTCTGAATAAATGATTTTTATATTATGAGTTACTATTTTATAGAGGAAGTCTCAATCTACAATATATTACTTCTGAAAAATGCTGTTATTTTATCTTCCATCTTGACACTGATTTCTTACACTTTCCTCTTCAATCAGGATTACCTGAGCTGGAATTGGAAGCAATTGATAACCAGTTTGGACAAACAGGAACAGGTGATCAGATTCCATGGGCAAATAATACAGTGACAGCTGTAAATCAGAATAAACCAGAAGAGTGAGTAATGCATTTTGTATTTTATAAGATACCAGATGCCAAATTCTACAACAAAACCACTTTTCCCAAATTGGAGTCCAGTCTGCGTTGGTATTTGTGAGATTAATAGAAGTAAATGGTGAATGACAAAAAAAGAAGAAATGGGATGGGCACCAAGTTAAGCAGATTTATTTGCTGCATAACTACCAGGCTAGTGTACATTGTAATTACCAAGACACTTATAAAGTACACAACTGTTATTACACATCCCTTATTTTAGTTTGATTGAATGCCGTAAAACTCCTGGGAACTATGGCTGAATTGACCTCAGTACAAAATTATGTGACTCTTGAGCTTTTAGTTATATAATTCTTTTGTCCAGTTTTTCTCTCTTTTAAGCAGGAGAAAATAAGGAAGAAAGTGCTCTCTATATCTAGTCAGTGTCCCAACTTGATTAGAAAGTAATTTCTGACTCCATCTAGGTAATTCTATTCCATGGTATACAGTACAGCTCATGCATAACAACAGAGAGATGCATATATAAGAGTATGGCTTAGAACCTTAACTAGCTTAACTGATACATTTACCTCCCAAAAGAAGGATTCATACATTATTATAGTATTAATTGTAGTAGTATCAGTAACAGTAGTAGTATCATTTCTATATAATCCTACATTTTAAGTATCAGTTGGTATCTATCTGGATTGAATATGTGTTTCCTACATGTGATCAGTGAATCATTTGTCTTATTGCACAACACTGAGCACAAAAATGAATTTCATTTTTCTAGTTCAATTTCTTTTGTATATGGCAGTTTTATCAGGCTATCAATATGATGTGATCATCCTTGATAAGTAATGTAATGTGTACTATCTTGATTACTGTTCAGTTTTCAACAATGGCATCTATAGAATAAGTAGAATAAATATGAATATAGACTAAATGATATTTTCCTAAGTATTTGATTTTTGTTTCTTTGCTTTTGTTAATTCTCTTTTTTATTGTATCTAAATAAGTAGATGGGTGTTAGCAGAACCTATTGCATTTATTATTGTATTAATTTTATTGAGGTAATATTGGTTTACAGCATAATATGTGATTTAGAGGTATAGGTTCACACCTTTTCCTTTTCTTAAAAATGTTTGGTTAATTTTTTTTTTTGGCTATTTCTATAAACTAATATGAAGACTATGAAACAAAGTTCAGTGATTGGTCAAATAAAAAATATATTTAAGCTATATACCAAATGGTCATAAAATTTCCTCATATTAAGTATAGAGCATTTAATTGGGTAAGAAATGGTTGAAAAGTACCCCAACAGAGAATTTTCTGAAACTGGATTTGCATATATGTGTGTATACATTATTAGGATTGAATAATTATATGTATATCAATCTGAACTTTCTTATGTTCTGATCCTGCAGCCAGTGTATTAGTTCACAATTAGATGAGCTTCTCTGTCCACCAACAACAGTAGAAGGAAGAAATGATGAGAAGGCTCTTCTTGAACAGCTGGTATCTTTCCTTAGTGGCAAAGATGAAACTGAGCTAGCTGAACTAGACAGAGCTCTGGGAATTGACAAACTTGTTCAGGTATTTATTGAAGTTGGCATTATTTCAATGATGCAGCTTTCAATGAGAAGCTAGCCAATGACTTTCAAACAAAATTTTTCATTGTTCTTACTGTGTCTCTGCCGTTTTATAATTTACCCTTGTGAAAGTTATTGTCATATTATAAATAATCAACTTTTTGAAGAAAAAGTGAATAGTTAGAATTATAAAGTCTTAACCTTTCACTACGGAACAGACTTAGAAGCTCCCCTTGGAATAGAATGCATATTTGTATCAATGCTTCTTATTTTAAGACTTAATTTGTCCATCATTCTTTCTATTTTTCAACCCATAGGTCCCATGACTTTCCAACTGCTAAGTTAGTATTTTTCAAATTGTGGGGTAATACTTTTGTTAATGGAAAATAATAGCATAGAATACAGTGTCAGAATACATAGTCCATAAAAGGGGGGAATTATGTTTCGTGATATTTTCTTTTTAGTTGCACATAAAAAAGGTCACAATTTAAGTTATTATTCTTAGAGTGAATATTAGTCAAAAGTTGGAAAGCCATACACTATGACATTCTGTTAAGTCAGCTATTAAATTTTTTTTAAATAAGGTAAAAGCATAGTTTCTGTTTTTGAGATAGAAAAAAGTGCCTAAATGAGTTCTCATTTAAGAATCTACTTCTGGTATCTTTATTGATTATCAGACTTTATAATGAAGTTCTTTTCAAATATTGGAGCCTCATTTTGTTGTTTTAGGGCCTTTATTTTAACCTTGTTTTCATCTCTTTACTGAGATTTAAAATATCTAGCTAATCTGTTAATTCGTTTCAAAAGTAACTTTCATAAGTGATTCCTTTAGATAATAAGCTTCTGGAGGGTCTCAGGAATTCAGCATGACTATATTATAGTGAAACTTTCTAGAGATAACATGCTCTTAGATCTAAAATTATGTAGAGAAACGTGTTCCTTATGGGTAGGCATTTATTTGTAAAATGTTCTGGCTTATTTTCTAACAGGGAGGTGGATTAGATGTATTATCAGAAAGATTTCCTCCACAACAAGCAACACCACCTTTGATGATGGAAGAAAGACCCAACCTTTATTCCCAGCCTTATTCTTCTCCTTCACCCACTGCCAATCTCTCTAGCCCTTTCCAGGGTATGGTCAGACAAAAACCTTCATTGGGGACTATGCCTGTTCAAGTAACACCTCCCCGAGGAGCTTTTTCACCTGGCATGGGCATGCAGCCCAGACAAACTCTAAACAGACCTCCCGCTGCACCCAACCAACTTCGTCTTCAACTCCAACAGCGATTACAGGGACAACAGCAGGTGAGCATTCTTATTTAAAGGTATGTGCTGACTCTCTGTAATAAGACTGCCTAGTTGCTACAATGAAGATGCCAAATCCACTCCCAGAACCTTTTTGAAAGACTTAAAAAACCGTCCTTGTCTGCTAGGATAAAAATTTGAGACATTTTTAGTCCATTAAAATTGCTGGCTTACAACAAAGTGCTTTAAGTCAGACAATAAAAGCAATTTAGTTTTATTTTTGAGAAATAATTAGGATGAACATAATTTAATATTAAGTAATATAAAGAGAAACAGTTTAATTTATGAAATGGAACATCAAGAAATGTTCATGATTGTTGGAACAGAAAATCAAGTTTATGTATGTTGGTTGAAGTTAGAGTGCTTGAAGTGTAGTGATGTTACTGCATTAAAAGAATGGAAGATAGGATAGTTTTGGGGTCCTAGGGAATATGGGAGAGTTAAATGTTTTCTCATGACAGGTAAAGACTAGATATAGTCATGTAAATATTTAAAATGTGTAAGCAGACAATATAGAAATAATCTCCAAGAACTAAAAATGCAAATACTTCTTTGTTATCTTTTGGAAGTGGGACTAGGCCAGTAGATTGTTGCTTCCTGTTATTAATCCTCTGCATGTTTTTGAAATTGTTTTGGATGTTTTTTTAAAAAGCCTTACTAATTCAAGAAGGAGTCAGAAGGTAGTAAATGATACTAGAAATGAAGTATGAAATAGTGGTTATCAGAGTTGGCTCTAATTTCAAGTCCTAGTTCTAACCTTAGCTCGGGTGAGTTGATATTCAAATTATTTACCCTTCTCAAATCTCTGATTTCTCATCCATTAAACATCTAAAAATAATTCCTTTCCTGATAGGTGCCTGTATGAATTAAATGAGTTAATAGACGTGAAGTTCTTCATAGCACAATGCCTGGTGTAAGAATCAGTATTGATAATCTTTTAATTTTTATGGAGAATAGAAGTGACCAGAAAAAAAAGTAAGATCAAAAGGGCAGAAAATACTGGGAAGTAGATTTTACCTTGGAGATACCTGGCAATGAAAAACAACTGATAAAAGAATAAGCTTCTTGGACCTCCCCTGGTGGTGCAGCGGTTGAGCGCTGGGTTGCGAGGCTGCCCGCAGCCTCTGCAGCACCAGTTTGATCCCCGGCCACTGGTGAGGGTCCCACAAAAAAAAAAAAAAAGAAAGAAAGAAAAAGAATAAGCTTCTTTGAAGAATTATTTGTCATGGCAGGAATTTATGTGGTGACTGGACTGGGATTTTCAGCCTTAGCACTGTAATATTTTGGGATCTTGTTACAAAGGACTTTATATGCATTAAAGAATGATTAGTATCATCCTAGCCCCCAACCATTAGATGCTGGTAGCAGTTTTGGTTGTAACAACCAAAAACCTTTCAGTCATTGCCAAGTGTCCCTTGTGGGGCAGATCAGCCCCTTAGGTTGATAACATCTGGTTTGGTTGATAACATAAAAGAATATCATCTTTTATGTTTACTGTAGAAGGGCTTCTTGCTAAGGCATTGGGAAAAATTCCATTCAGAAAGACAGAATGCCAGCCTGAGTGTGTGTACACTCATGTTTTATGTGTAGCATAGGCTGTGTCCTTCCCTTACCACAGCCCCACATTTCCTTTTGTAATGCAAGTCTTTTAACCTCACCTTAGTAGATTTTAGAATTTGTGTCCCCAGCTCTAAAGGGTACCAGCCTCTCTCCTCACACTTTCCAATCCCCCCAAAAGTTAAGATTGCTACAGAGATAAAGGATATGGTGATCCTTTGGGGAAGATTTCACTGGAAGAAGTAGAACTTGATCTTGCTGAGAAAAAAAATTAGTAATCAGAGAAAAGAGGCAGATCAGAGTAGAATAGTTGTACACAATATTAGTCAGGTTACACACACAGATAGTCAAGAGGAGGGAAAGTGAACAAGATTTGTTTCAAGGATATAAATAGGTCAATTTTTCAGTAACAGAAAGTGCTTATAGATTTTTGCTATTTAGGGTAATTCCTTCTATTTCAATAATAGCCTCTTCATTTTCTACATTTATTTTTTCATTTTTACTATTTCTCATGTATCTTTCTCTCTCCCTATCCATTTCACTCTCACATTATCTCACAAGTCAAGTATAAAGCTGTAAGTTTGGAATCCCACTTGCCCTGCTTCATCACTAAGTACTAATGTATTTCCACTTGTCCTCATGGTTTTCTCTCCTGTTTTCATATTTGCTTTTTTTTCTGCCTTAACTCTACCATCTTTCTGGCCACCTGGCATTCTCTCCATTCAGGGTCCCACTGAGCTTCCTTACGCTCTTGGTCCCTGCCTTCGAATCCCAGATTACGTTAGCTGCTCCTTCTGGGGTGGCTGAGGATGTCCCTATATATGCAAGTACAGAACTTGTGCATTGCCCACCTTTGTCTTGGCCTCTGCTCTTAGGAAGAATTCCCAGGGTATAAGAGTTTCCTTACCTTTGAAGCCTTCAAACTGGGGTGTTGTTGGTTTGTTGTTGTTTTTTAATAAAGCTTCATAAAATTAATGGTTTGTTTAAACTTATATCCATGGTCTGTTGAGTTTAAGAAGTATATAAATTTTGACACTTAAGAGTTCCTTTGACATTTAAAGCCATATGTTGATATCTTTAGTTTTGAAGTGATTCCGACTATTTTATCCTATTCCATAATGCCTGAAATTTATAATTTTGCTATTTACATTATATTGAGATTTCCCCCCTAAATTTAGTTTGTTTCCTGATCGGATAGGAATCAGAAAATGAATGAAACCAGAAGTAAGAGTTGAGCTATTTAGAGATGAGAGATTTGATCACTATTCATAACCCTTTGGATTCTTTTATAAAATTTTCATAGCCCTTCTAGTTTACATATAGTAATTTATATTAAATATATTAAGATAAAAATACGTTGATACATCGGTGTCATATGTCAATATGCTCTATAAGTAACTTATGTTATAAAATACCATGTAAATATTAAGTAGAATTTATATTATTTTTACTATCATCTCTCTGAAGATTTTATTCATATCAAATTAAATAACACTTCCAAGGAAGTGCTTGTTTTGTTACCTGATAAAGTCAAGACATGCCTGGGACTTGGAACCCTAAGCCTGACATAGACTGCATCTTGCAAACTAGAGTTCCATAGAGATTGTCCTAGAGATAATTATTGGTGGCTGTATATCAGGGGGAAAGGGTTTGTGATTAATAAGTTGCAAATGTGCTTTGGCCAATTAAAGGCTCATAGAATCACAGCAGTAAAGAAATCTGTTTCACCTTATGTAACCCATCATTTCCAATACTTAATACAGCACAGCATGCTATTTTCCCAGCACATCTATTAATATCCTGCAGAACAATGTTCTGTAGAACACCAATTTGGGAAATGCTGGTCTAAAGTAATTACTTCTTCTAGCTAAATAAATAGTCCATTTTCTCAGACCATTTGTTTCTTATATAATTCTCTCTAATGAAATCACATTGGATTTTCCCCAAATGTATACCCATCAAATAGGCACCCTTCAAGTCCCTCAACTTTCCTATTCATCTTTTAGAACTTTGTAGAATGTACCCTTATTTTATACTTACTTTTTATTCACAATAGTTTAATACCTAGAGATGATGTTTCTATTCTTTCCATTATTGCACTTGTCTGAAATGACTAAGATTAACAATTTTTTTTTAAGACTTATTTATTTGTTTGTTTGTTTATACAAGCACTGGGTACAGTCAGAAGCACGGGAGGGTGAGAGAATTCACCAGAGCCAGAGCAGGGAGCAGAGCAGGCAGAAGGACCCAAGTACACTGCTGAGGGGAGCAGTGGGCGGCAGGAGAGGTCTGCGCGCCATGTGGGACCCTCCTCCGGTGGTCGGGGAGCAGCCGGGGATCGAACCGGTGCTGCAGAGGCTGCGGGCAGCTTCGCAACCCAGCGCTCAACCGCTGCGCCACCGGGGAGGCCCAGATTAACAATTTTTTAAAAGTATAATGAGCATGCTGCTGTGTATGTACACATACTGCAGGGCATCTGAAAGTATGTGTACAAATATATATACATATGTATACATAGTCTACTTTGAAATGCTCTGCTGTAAGCAGGAAACATTTGATAAATATTAGGAATTGCCAGCATTTTGGCAAAGAAACTAAAACTTTTAGTAATCAGTGAAAAGTTTGTGTTACTCTGTACAGGCCTGCTATATATGTTTGTATGTGGAAATATGCTCTCTCATTGTTTGCATTTCTCTCTAGTTAATACACCAAAATCGGCAAGCTATCTTGAACCAGTTTGCAGCAACTGCTCCTGTTGGCATCAATATGAGATCAGGCATGCAGCAGCAAATTACACCTCAGGTAATGTGAGAGAACAAGACATTGTTAGTACTGCTTTAACCCAAGGTATAGTGCTTAAACTATTGACTTAAGCAACTTTAAGATGATCTCTGAAATGATCTTTTAATGATTTTGATAATGTGGTTTTATCCTGGTATGAATTTATAATATATTTGTGATACCCCTTACTGGCACCTGATTGAAAGCTGAGGGTCCTTTGTTTTATTGTTATTGTCATTGCTCCTAGATGCCAGATGACTAAGTAGGAAACACTTGTTGCTGTATTCCTGTACTGAATAGTACAAGTAATAAGAAGCCCAAGACATGAAACTGTGTGATTGGTACCTAAAACCTGATCAAAACCCAGTTACAGTGCTAACTTATCTTGATGACCTTGTGTTCTCTGCTCAGTCTGAGCATTAACATTTTCTGCATCTTATTTATTTTAAAGATCCTTATGTATGAACCCAAAGCCATAGGAACTTTAAATGTAAAAACAGCTGTTAGCCTTCTAAATATCATCTAATACTTATTCCCTACTTAACTTCCATACATACTTTGAGTATTTTTGCTTTTGCCACTTTTCATATTTTCATAAAGTTGACACCAAAATTTGGGAGATGACAGGTTTAAAAGAGGATTCAAACAAACAAAATTCTTTTTCTCCATAAATTGGACCTTGATGGATAGGGACAAATACAGGACACCAACATCAACCAAAGGGATAGATATTGACAAACATCACTGGTAAAAGAACAGATACCGCATCCTCATGGATCCAGACTTGAGCTTCTCAGCCTTATAAGTAGTAGGTAGCTGTTACAAAGGTGATAACATTATAAGAAAACAATATCCTCACTTCTAAAATTCACATAAAGATTATTTCTATCAGCAAGTCATATGTCACAGTTTATTCTAGATTGGACTATGTCTAATTGATCAGTTTAATAATTTTAATGGAGCTGTATGTTTTAAGTAAACCTTCAAAATTCTGGCTCAACATTTCCTGAGAAAGGCGTTATTGACATGCCTTTTTCTCTTTACAAGTCAGATCAAAAAGTGATTTTAACCTAATCTTACCATTTCTTTCTTCACTGATAGTATTATAGCTATTAAGACACTCTAATGCCTGAAGTAGTATTGTACTGTAACAATGATATAAAGTATTTCCATTTATTTCTGTGATTTTATTTCTAATTAATTATTTTCTTTTAAGTGATTTGTTAAATCATTTATTCAACATTAGATCCTGAATTTCTGATTCTTCATTTTTTAATGGTACCTATAGGTTGTTCTCTGCTCAGATAGATTGTGACTACAGTACATATTCACTGTAGATAATAGGAAATGCAAGAAAATATAGTGGGAAAATTAAAATCACCTATAATCAATCATATTTTATTCACTTATATAAAATAGAATAAATGACCTCAGAAATGGGGAAACTAAGTGTCTCCCTAATAGAAACACAACAAATTTTTGGAAATGAAAAGTTTCTTAACCTAATGTCAGATAAGGTAGACGCCATCAAGCACATTTCCTTTCTTCTCTTTATGGTTTTCATGTTTCTCCTAATAGTTTTCATGGCCTGTATTATAATATTAATCCATCTATACTTTCTTTGATTCTCAGTTCTGTGTGACTTTTAATTGGTAATGTTCTCTAATAGTCAGATACTGTTTTAGCATTTCTCAATTTATTTTCTTCTGTGATTATTACTTAAGATGTTTTTGTTCCTTTTCTGTTGTAGTTTCCCTTGTACACTGATAATTGCTACATATCTTTATTTGCACCACCTACTAGACTTTATCCTGTAGGTTTTCCAATATAGGCAGTGATTATAATAATATTAATAAATGAGGGTTTTTTTTTTTCCTCCCTTGCAGCCACCTCTGAATGCCCAAATGCTGGCACAGCGCCAGCGGGAGTTATACAGTCAACAGCACCGACAGCGGCAGCTAATACAGCAGCAAAGAGCCATGCTCATGAGACAACAGAACTTTGGGAACAACCTCCCTCCCTCATCTGGACTGCCAGTTCAAATGGGGAACCCCCGTCTTCCTCAGGGTGCTCCACAGCAATTCCCCTACCCACCAAACTATGGTACAAATCCAGGAACTCCACCTGCTTCCACCAGCCCATTTTCACAACTGGCAGCAAATCCTGAGGCAGCCTTGGCCAACCGCAATAGCATGGTGAACAGAGGCGTGGCAGGGAACATGGGAGGACAGTTTGGCACTGGAATCAGTCCTCAGATGCAGCAGAATGTCTTCCAGTATCCAGGATCAGGTATGAGGGTCACCCCTGTGTGTTGCATAGGCTCAGGTCTTCTCCAGGTGCGTTTCAGTTCACTGCCTCTGAGGCAGTAGCTGAGTACGAAAGGCACTGACAGGCAGGTTCAAGCTCCAGACTCAGGTCTTGACACTGGATGTTTGAATGGTTTGAGATCTCCCTCTCTTTGATAGCTAAGATGATTAAATTAGAGAATCCCTCAGGATCTGCCTCAAATTTTTGACTCTTTGTATGCAAAATGCACTCTTATTTTCCTATGTATTCTTACAGATACCTGTGAAAATCTATTGAAAGTCTGCTTCAGACAATGGGTTTAAGTTCCTTTTCTCAAAATCTGCTGCTGTTGGAGATTCTCTTTTTGATAAATTTCATAAGGATAATCAATCTTCACAGAGTGTCTCAGGTTTCTCCTTGGTGTACCGCTCAAAGATGCTTAGGTTACAAGCTATGCCTCTGCAGTATCAGTCAACTTTCTGACTTCCAAAAGGTTTTTTCTTTTTAACCTTTCATTTGCAGTGTCTCTCTTCCATTATCTCTGTCCTCAGTGACAATACTTTTTTAAAATTTTTCTTCCATCACTTTTCGGTTCTAATAGATTCTCTGTAATAAAACACATGATTAATCCACCACATTTAATCAAACTTTAATGCAAAACTAATGGCAAATTCCTGGGAAAAAAAGATAAAATTAGTCCCTTGCTCTTATAAATGAAAGAAAAAGTAAATTTTAAGACTGCTTAAAAATGAATTTCAATGAAAAAAACTGCTATTAGACATGGATAAAATGTTGAAGTTCTACAGAGATTTTTGACATAAGCAATATGCTTATCAACTCTGACAGCCAAATCAATTTAGACTGTTCATTGTGACAGCAACAAGTGCTAAAATTCTTTGACTATTAAGTATCTAGGGAGACTTGTGGAAGAGAGCACCAGAATTCTCGAAGACATTTTAATTAAAATTATGCCACATCAGTTCCTTTGTCCTCAAGACAATGAAGTCATCTTTGGCTGGTTTCTATCACTGACACTATCTGTATGAGCACAAAAAGGATTATAAATCCATAATTTAATTATAACATTGTCTGAGCAAGGGTGGCCTTCATTCAAGTTGTATTTCCATGTGTCCTACAACCTCTGTATGCAAAGAAGTTAACAAGACTTTCTCACTTTATTCTAGCCTGTGAAAGTAATTCCTGCAACATTAGAGGACTTGTACTATTTCCCCATCCCTCTTCCAGAACGGCATCTAGCTAAAACAGATTCTTAATAGCATTTAAGATATCGATTGCAGAGCCTTAAGTAAAAAAAAAATTCTCTTATTCATTAGAGGGGAAAAAAAATATATTACAAGTAAGCCAAACATTAATAAATTCTCTAAGGATTCCCTTCTTTAATAAAATAGTATTTTCAGCCATGCTTTTTGACACCTTTTTTTCCTGAAAAGCCAGGAAAGGAACACTACTATCCTGCTCTCATTCCATGAGAAGTCTCCCTGGGAAGACAGTGCTTCAAAGCCCCAGTTCCAACTAAGTTGACAAGATTTCACTTGGGGTTGTGGGTCTATTTTTTTACCAACTGCATGTCTACGTAGAACACAGAGATGGAGATGTTGAGTGGGTGGAGTTTCCTTCTTCACCAGGCAGTATACCAGATGCCATCATAAGTACATACTCTCTGTTACCTGGATTTTTCTTCCATGCCAACTTTTGATTGACAAGAAAATACTTCTCACAAGTGAAAATTTTTCTTTGATAAAGTTAGCATTCATCCTACAAACATATCCTGGGTGGAGAGAGTAGTACTTTCATCTATTTGCAGACAGAAATGGAATGGCGGTGCTTTCAGTTCTTCTATGAACTGCTTCAAAATACTAGGGAGGAGGAAATTTTTCATTTTTCTGGAGAACATAAGACATTTAAGAATGCAATGTTTCTGATTTCTTCTGCTGTTCTAAATCATAAACTTGTTCCAACATGATTAGCGGCCTGGTAGAAACTTTCACGACCAGCATTTGTGTTGGTACAAATTCAAGCAACCTTTTCAAATCAAATATTCGAAAAACAAAAGTCAACCTGTTTTTATAAACTTTTATTAGAAAACAACTATGCTCATTACATATTGTCTGTGACTAGTTTCATGCAACAGAGTTTAGTAATTATTACAGAAACTGTGTGGCCAACAGAACCAAAAATATTTACTGTCTGGCCCTTTGGAGAAAAAGTTTACTGATGCTTGTGTTAACTGGACAGTAAACCAAAGGATGACTGTTAACTTTGCCTTGAACCTTTGCTTTCCTGTCGTTCAACTGAATATAGTCCCACAGTAAATGAAGAAACATAGGTATTAGTAATGGCAGAGTATGCTTCCTTTTATTTCAGAAGACAAAAATTTTCTAGACTATCGTGTCACAGGAACAGAATTAAATTTTATTGTTAATTTTATCTCATACTTAGGCAATAGTAAAAATATGAGAGAAGTTTTAATTCTTGTACCCGCATCATGAATTTCTTGAAACACATCCATAGCCCCCTCTTCTATGAACTGAAACATGCTCTTCCACCTACTCCACTTGAGACATCTTATCTATTCCTGTGACCTCAGTGACCTCTTTGTGCTAATGACTATTTACTATCTCTAAACCAGATCTCTTGGCTAATATGTTGAGTGGGTGGAGTTTACTAGACAGACATTCTTGAATTTTTCACCAGCACCCCAAACTCATTCAAAGCTAGTCTGGTCAATTCCATTTCCCCTTTCCTCCATATCAGTTCATCTGTACCCCTTGTCTAAAGTACAGTACCCTTCCCATCCCCGCCTCATTTCTCTTCCTCCATCCTCTCGGAGGTATCTCTACCAGGAAGTCTCCCCAACACAATCATAAGCACTCACCACCTTGTCTTACAGCCACTTGGTAACCTAGCTGCCTTTCTTTTTAAACAGCAAGTTATTTCAGTGAGCAAAATATGACCTTTTTAATCTTTATTTCTCAAATACTTAGCACAGTATTCTGGCAGGGAGTAGGTGTGCGGTGACTCTTTGAAGAAATAAATGAATGGAACTGTGAGTCCTAATTCTGGTTGGTGCTGCCAAATGGCTATGATTCTATTTATGGTCCCACAGAAAGAAAACATTATAGAATTTTTAAACTAGAAAGAACTAGATTGTCTGTTCCAAGGAACTAAAGGTCAAATGTTGTGATGGAACTGGGACCAGAAACTGCCCCTCCAATTCATTATTCACAGGTTGGTTCTTTCTACTAAACTAGGTCATCTGATAAGGAAAACATGGGTACTTAGAATGTGAGATGAGACCAGAAAGAAATGTGGAAAAGCATGCCAGTGTACTTGGAGTATCTTATTTGTTATTTAACTCTGATCCCACAAGCAAAATCTCCAAACTATGAGAACTCTTTCTTTTTTTTTTTTTTTAAAGGTTTATTTATTTATACAAGCACTGGGTACAGTAAGAAGCGCGGGAGGGTGAGAGAATTCACAGAGCCAGAGCGGGGAGCAGAACAGGCAGAAGGACCAAAGTACACGGCTGAGGGGAGCAGCGGGCGGCAGGAGAGGTCTGCGCGCCATGTGGGACCCTCGCCGGTGGCTAGGGATCTAACCGGCACTGCAGAGGCTGCAGGCAGCTTCGCAGCCCAGCGCTCAACCGCTGTGCCACCAGGGGAGGCCCACTATGAGAACTCTTTCTCTTTTGCATATGTCTTTTTGGGAGAAATGAGTTCATCATAAATAATTTAAAAATGCATTTGGAACAGACAAGTATATTTATAAGGATCACGACCAAAAGAGTTAAAATTTAAAATGTAGAGTTAATGCAAAGACTATTATCATATTAAATGAAGATGATGGGAAAGAAAACCCACTCTCTAGAATGATATGTGAAAAAAGTTCCCCAGGTATTCTAAGTCAAAATTATTTACCAAATATTAAATTACATATGGAGGAAGCATCAAGGGGAAAATATGTAGCTTTATCCAAGAATAAACTTAAACAGTTAATGACAGAAAAAATTACAGAAAGTCTGCAGTTGGCTCAGCTTTCACAGAAAATTTTAAATACTAAAAAAAAATTTAAGTACTCTTATAAACAAAAGTGAATAAATTATACCACTGACCAGATTTTTTTTGTAACATTGGTTTACAGCACTGTATATGATTTAGAGGAATGGCTTTACACCTGCTCCTATGTTTGTCATCATTGCACACCTACCACCAAAGCACCATGGTCCTTTACTATAGGTCATTGGGTCCCCCCACTTTGTTCCTTCCCCTGCACTCTCTCCCCTTTTTTAGTAGCCTTAATTTTCATATTTCCAGGGTTTGCAGATTAACCAAACAAAAAATGAAATGTCATAGTGTTAACAATGATAGGACACAGAATATGATACAGTCATAAACACTTACTCACAAAGAGACATTAAGAACATAGAAACACAGTTAATGACATAATGTTATGGGAGAGAAGCAGATCACAAAACTATGCAAGAATTTTATCAAGAAAAATTGATAGAAATTCTGCACAATGGATAATTAATTATAACATTCTCTTTTTTGCCTGTACCTTTATCTTTCTCTACCTCAAAACTATGAAATGTGTTTCATCAAGAAAAACAGGAAAAGAATACAAAGTGCTGGCATAACAGAAAACATAAAAAGAAACCCATTTTTACTCTTTTAAATTGTTAGCAACTTCCACTTTTGGTCAAGACAAAGTAACAGGGGTCAGATTTATTCTTTCATCTAAAACCAAAAGTCAAAGTATATTAAACAGACTGTGCTGCAGGGAGGAGGGCTCCAACTGGACCAAGTTATTCCCTGACTTAAGGGAGTGGAGCCCGGAGTCCAGGGCAGCCAGAGAGCTCACGTCCCCATACCAGACAGGAGAGTACCACATGCAGTGCGAACTCCTGGGGTGTGTGGACAGTTCCCTAGTACAAACCAAGACCTGGGAAAACTGCTTGAGAAGATTAGAGGGAACAGTCTTCAAAGTTCACACAAGGCCAGTTCCTTTTGCCGCCAGCCAGCATAGAAAATGTCATAATCGGGCCTCCCCTGTGGCGCAGCGGTTGAGCGCTGGGTTGCAAAGCTGCCCACGGCCTCTGCGGCGCCAGTTCAATCCCCGGCTGCTCCCCGGCCACCAGAGGAGGGTCCCACATGGCGCGCAGACCTCTCCTGCCGCCCGCTGCTCCCTCAGCAGTGTACTTCGGTCCTTCTGCCTGCTCTGCTCCCCGCTCTGGCTCTGGTGAATTCTCTCACCCTCCCGCGCTTCTGACTGTACCCAGTGCAAGTATAAACAAAAAAACAAACAAATAAATAAATAAAACATGCCTCTATAAAAAAATAATAAAAAAAAGAAAAAAGAAAATGTCATAATCCAGGGGGTTAGATGGGACACTCAAGGGTTTTCCTCAATAGTGGGGCAAGAGAAAAGAAGCCTTTGACGAAACCCTGCTCACGCCTCCTTAGGCACAAAACCCAAAACTGTCTCCAAATAACCTAACCATAGGGGCCACCCTGGTGGCACAAGGGGTTAAGACGCAGCACTATGAACCTATTTGCAGCTACTGCAGCAAGCCACTTCCATCCCTGACAGGGAGGTGACCCGTATGGCACAGACCTCTCCTGCCTCGCCTACTGCTCCCCTCAGCAGTGTAATTCAATACTTCTGCCTGTTCTGCTCCCCAATCTGTCTCTGGTGAATCCTCTCACCCACTGCATCTCTGGCCTGCATAAATAAATAAATGCATAAATAAATAAATCTTAAAAAAAAAATAACCACAGTCCAGACAAAGGTTGAAAATATTTAAAGGAGTTTTAAAAATTCAGTCTCTAACAAGGTAAAATTTATAAGGTCTGGAGTCTGACTTACAATATTACCAGGTATGCACAGAAGCAGGAGAATATAACCCATGATGAGGACAACAATCAGCTCATCAAAACAACCTCAGAAATACACGGATAAGAATTAGTAACCAGGAACATTAAAACAATTGTAAATCATACATTCTTTAGAAGCTAGGAGAAAGGTTGAACTTGTTAAGTAGAGTTAATATAAATATAAATAAAACAAATCAAACTTCAGGGCATGAAAACTACAATATCTGAGATGAAAAATAAACTGGATGGGATAAGAAGAAGACTGACATAAAAGAAAAATTAGTGAACTCAAAGATAAAACAATTGAAACTATACAAAGTGGAATCAGGAAAAGATTGAAAAGATCAGTTGATCCAAGTTGATCTTATAATTCAATGCAATCCTTGTCAAAGTATCAGCATACTTTTTGGTGAACCTGATGTCTCCTAATTTTTGTAGAAATGCAAGGGGTCTAGATTAGCCAAAACAATTTTGAAAACAAGGTTTAATGACTAACAGTTTTAAAAATTGCCATAAAGTTAGCAAATCAAGACAACATGGTACTGCTATAAATGTAGACATATAGATCACTGAAATAAAAAGTTCAAAAAATAAAACTTTATTTTTATTGTCCATTGATTTTCAACACAGTCATTTCAATCTCTGCTAGTAACACTACCCTGAAAAAAAAGGAACAAGCTACTAATAGATGTTACAGAGTGGTTGAACCTCAAAACCTTTACCCTAAGTGAAAGCAGCCAGAGACAAAAGATCAGATATGATTACATTTATATTAATTTTTTTTTAAAAAAAAAGAAGGCAAGCCTGCAGTCAGAAAGTGGATCAGTGGTTGCTTTAGGCTAGAGGTGGGAATAGGAATTGCCTGCAAACAGGCAACAAAGAGAATTTGAAGATAATAAAAATGTCTAAACTGGATAGTGGTGATGGTTGCACAGCACTATATATCGTTGAATTTTGTTCACTGGGTGAATTTGATTTTCTATAGATTACATCCAAATAAAGTTTTAAAAAAAAAAGACACAAAAGGGAAGAAGATGACTAAGAAGGAATGGTAATAAAACTCTTTGTTTTTCATTTCACATACGAGTTTTCCTTATATTTTTCCCCTTTCTACATAGTTTTACTATAGAAACAGTTTCCTCATGTACATTCATAAATATTTTTACACTTAAAAATTCATATATGCAAAAAAGAACAGGAAAAAAAATCATGCATAGTCCTGGTACCCAGATTAGCAACTTAGTTACTGGAAAGCATTCTCCCAATCTTAGTTTATATGTTTATTGATCTGTTTATGCTGAAATTTCATCTTACTTTTAAGAGACTAAATTTTCCCCCTACACTATTGAATAGGATATTTCTAAGTATATTATGACAGATCCTTGTGGGTTTTTTTTCTTTTATGGAGTTAATTAATTTAGTGTATTTATGTAAATTACTCTGTGTCAATTTGCAGGAATGGTTCCCCAAGGTGAGACCAACTTTGCTCCATCTCTAAGCCCTGGTAGCTCCATGGTGCCGATGCCAATTCCTCCTCCTCAAAGTTCTCTGCTCCAGCAAACTCCACCTGCTTCTGGGTACCAGTCACCAGACATGAAGGCCTGGCAGCAAGGAGCAATGGGAAACAACAAGTAAGGGGGCATTTTTTATATATGAGTACTGTCAGGCTACAGCACTTAAGGGTAGCCATGCCCTCAAAATCTAAATGGGAGATTGTTGGCTGCTGCCATTTGCACATTCAAGGAACTGAATGTTATGTTTTCAGCAAAGAAAATCATTTTAAGGCAAATTTGTGTGTTCATAGTAGAGAAAAGTGGACCCCCCCCCCCGTGCTAGCACACCCGAAGTATATGATCAGTTCCCATGAGTCACAGATGTACAAATGGATATTTTTAAAAAGGTTTTCTTTATAAAAACACTTAGAAATCTAAAGCAAGAATTACAAGATGTTAGAATTTAGTGAAGCTGATCAAGTTTCAGTCTTTTCAGTATGTTTGAAATTTTTCATGGGAACAACAAAGGTTTTAAAGGCTTCTCAGGTCATTCTGTCAATTCTTTGAATCTCTAGATAATCAGTGGCCTCATCTTGCCCATTTTGCTTAGAATTAGCTCACTAAAGTCAGTTTTCCCCCAAATCCTGACTGCTGAACTTTTCACACATCACTTGAATTTTATAAAGGTTTTAATTTGGTTGTATCTTGGTTCTAATGACAGGGAAGCCGTTTGATCTGACAACATAATAAGTACAGCAGTTAAAGTTGAAAACTTTAAGACCATATTCTCTTAAAGTTCATTCAAAGGTGAGAGAGGGAACCTTCCTGTTAGAGAACTGTGTAGCTCTCAGTAAGGACTGTGTGTGAATTAGGTAGAAATGGAACCATCGTGAAACATGCAAGAAGAATTTAGTCTTGTAGACGCAAAAAGGGTCTCCTAGTCTCTTCTAAATTCCAGTCTCCTAAGCCCACTTTAGGTTCTGTGGGGCATCGTTATAATTACTTCCTTCCAGGCTGCCCCTCTATTGCACTTGTGCCTCCCAAAACATTTTATTAATATCCAGCTGGGCTCTTCATCATTCCTGCATCTAAACATTTAAATGTAACTTGGTAAAAACAGTTGTACTGACAGTTCTGCTCCCCTTTACAATTAAATTCTTTAGAAGATTCTGTCACTTCCCTTCCTCTGGTTCCTTGTTGAACCACTCAGGTTTTCATCCCTACCAAAAGTGTCTGGTCAAGATCATTACTGTGCTCTCCATTGCCAATGCAAAAATCACTGGTAGCATTTGACATATTTGAGTATTTATTCTTTTTTTAAAAAAAATATTTTTTTTTGTTAAGGTAATGTTGGTTTACAACATTGTACATAATTTAGGGGTATAGGTCCACATCTTCAGACATATGTCACTATGTCACACCCATCACCAAAAGCATTTACTCTTTCTTGAAGTTCTTTTTTCATTTTGACTTCTGGAATGACTCTGGCTCACTCTGGTGATTCTCCTATGTCTTAAATCCCTCTGCCAGATCTTCCTCATCAACCTGACTCCATTTGAGGGTCTCCATCACAGCTCATTCTGTGACCTTTTCCCATATTGACTTGCTCCCTTGGTTTATATCATCTGCTGATAGATAGATAGATAGATAGATAGATAGATAGATAGATAGATAGATAGATAGATAGATAGATTTTTTTAATTTTATTTATTTTTTTCTTAATGATGATAACACTGGTTTACACCAGTGTATATGTTTCAGAAATAAAGTATCCCACCCCTTCAGGTGTATGTCAGCACACCGTATCATCCAGTTTTAATACTGTGAATACCTGTTACTATGCCTATAACTCCCAAATTTAAATCTCCAACCCAAACCTCTCCCCTGAACACTGTGCATCCTGCAGCCTAATTGGCACCTTCACTTAAAAGTCCCAAGGTATCCCAACCTTAACATGACAAAAGGCAAAATGTTAGTCTCCCCAAAACCTGCTCCTCTCCTACTTTTCCCCATCTCAGTAGCAACTCCATTCTTCCAGTAATTCAAAAGAAAAACTTTTTCTCTTTCTCTCACATCACACATCAAACATACCAGCAGATCATATCAGTCTCTTAGCAGCTCTCACTTCTTACCTGCTTCACTTGTACACAAGTCACTGTCATGTTTTCTGTGGACCCCTTCAGTACCTCTTATCTCCCTTCTTCTACCTCACTCCACTACAGTTTAACTTCTACACCATAGCTGAAGTAATGCTTTTTTAAATATTTAAGGCAGTATGTTAGTCCTTTACCAAACTCCCCAACTTACTCAGAGAACAATAGAGAGCCTACAAAGCCCTCTGTAACTTACTCCTGGATACCTCTCTGATATCATCTGCTATTCCCATCACTCACTGTGCTGCACTGGCTCCTGTTACACTTCTGTTCCTCAAATGTGATGTTACATTGCAAACTCAGGACCTTTGCATTTGTTAATCCCTCTGTTGGAAAGGTCTTCCCTCAGTAGCCATGTAGCGTGCTCCCACTTCAAGTCTATCCTTAAATTTTACCTTATTAGACAGACAAGTGTCATCATATTAAACTTTCCTGGCAATCATTTCTACAACAATGCCATTATCCCAACCCCTGGTCCCTCCTTGCCCTTCTTTATTTCTCTTCCTAGTGCTTAACATCTGACATTTTATATTAGTCTTTATTTTTGTGGTCTGACTCCTCCAACTAGAGAATATAAGCTTCATAAGTACACTTTATTTCTGTATGTCCATCCTCTAGAGCAGGGAAGCGCTTCATTCCAAAGTCACCTCTTGGATTCAAATTCAAATGTGGGCTAGAGTTTTTGTAGTACTTCAGTAGTTTGAATTTGACTTTCCCAAACCATTTGGGAAGAAGAAATAATTTTCACTAACTCTTTTTTTTTTTTTTTTTTTTAGAGGCATGTTATTTATTTATTTGTTTGTTTGTTTGTTTGTTTATACATGCACTGGGTACAGTCAGAAGCGCAGGAGGGTGAGAGAATTCACCAGAGCCAGAGCGGGGAGCAGAGCAGGCAGAAGGACTGAAGTACACTGCTGAGGGGAGCAGCGGGCGGCAGGAGAGGTCTGCGCGCCATGTGGGACCCTCCTCCGGTGGCCGGGGAGCAGCCGGGGATCGAACCGGCGCTGCAGAGGCCGGTTAGCTTCGCAACCAGCGCTCAACCGCTGCGCCACCGGGGAGGCCCCATTTTCACTAACTCTTTAAATAGTCACGGTGCTTATTTGGCTTCTGTGTAAAACTTCACATGTAGATGCTTGCTGGTCAGTGCAGACAGCATATCAGTTATGACCACACACTGTCTCTGCTGCACAGTACAAGGTATCACAAAGAAGGGGGAAACAGCCTCAGTGGTCAGTTACCAAGAGTCTGTTGGCTCAAAGTAGATCACAGAGAATGAGAACATGAAGCAAAGTGTCATGAAGTTGAATGATGCAGTAGAGTTTGGAGACACTGTAACAGGATTCTTTTTCATTATCTCTGGTGGTAAGTGAAATAGAGGGTTAAACCAAATCTATTTGTCAGTATAGGGCAGTGTTTCTGTGTACCAGTAGTCACTAAAGAGAGTCCTGGTGCCTGTTAGCATTTTAAAGGCTAAAAAAGCCTGTTGTTGAACCCTTTGTTTCTCAGACTTGATGAGGAACTATCTCCCACTGGTTATTACCTACTAGACTAAACAAAGTCTTCACCTTTTCCCTTCCCCACCATGATTTAGGGGAGACCAAATCCCTGGTGCTAGCCTAAGGAAACTGATAATTGCCACTAAGCCTGGAAAGCAGAGAGAGGGTGGGGTCCTTCTTGCAGGGGCCTAGTGCCTTCAAACCCCACAGCCCATTCCAGGATGTGTCACCATGGTTGATGCTGCAATAGGGTTTGTTCTCCTTCCCATGATAGAAGAAACTCAAATGGAACTATTGGCAGGAAGTTTGCATGAATATAAGCTAATATAGCCCCAAATATAAATTTGAAAGGAAATTAAACCTTGAACTTTTCACTAAGTATGACATCATTGCAGTCCTTGTAGCTACTGCAGGCATTATCTTACATAACTGTGCCTACACAGTGGTGATATATGTATCAGTGACAAATGAGCATTGTCTAAGGCAGAAATGTCCTCATTAGAAAATGACCAGTAGACTAATAGCTTTTTTTCTCACCTTTAGTTGTGGGGACACTGCCTCACAAGCATACACACTGTGCAAACATTAATGGTCCACAGATAAATTATTGACCATTTCCTAAGCATATAATTTTTTTTGAGCATTTGTATTTTATAATTACTTGAAGAAATTTTGCTGCTTTCTTCATACATGATGAATAGGCATTTCTCTGCCTGTTAATTTCAGTATGATTACTTTAATCTACTAGAAGTTATAAATGTCAGTACATCCTGCTTACCTCCCAAGAGGTAAGGTATTTATTTAGCAAAAAATAAACCACTGATAGAGTAAATAATTTTTTTTTTTAAAGAGGCATGTTTTTATTTATTTATTTGTTTGTTTGTTTGTTTGTTTGTTTGTTTGTTTGTTTTTATACATGCACTGGGTACAGTCAGAAGCGCGGGAGGGTGAGAGAATTCACCAGAGCCAGAGTGGGGAGCAGAGCAGGCAGAAGGACCGAAGTACACTGCTGAGGGGAGCAGCGGGCGGCAGGAGAGGTCTGCGCGCCATGTGGGACCCTCCTCCAGTGGCCGGGGAGCAGCCGGGGATCGAACCGGCGCCGCGGAGGCTGCGGGCAGCTTCGCAACCCAGCGCTCAACTGCTGCGCCACTGGGGAGGCCCTAGAGTAAATAATTTTTAAAAGTCAAAGTCTCCAGAATTAATATTAAAATGGGTAGAATTTTACCAGCACCTTGTTGTTTAACAATTAATAGATAATCATAAGACATTTGATGTTTTGTAGGGTTTACAAAGACACAATTCATAATAATTTTCCTTTAGATATGTACATCTGTACACTTAGAATTTTGAGGGATTGAAATATGAAGTTTCAAGATGGATTTACTTGAAGTTTATTCCATACTATTCTACCTACTAATAAAACTGGTTTAACATTTGAGATCCTTAGTATAAAACAACTTGACCATGAAGAAGGAAGTCAATAAAACAAATTCTGAAAAACAGAATTACCTTTGCATTTTACTTCCTAAAAAAGACATGAAGGTATCTTCAGGCCCAAGAAGATCTTTGAAGTCTTTAAAAACATTGTTTGGCAAATAAAAATATCTGGTTATTTTCACTTCTGATTTATTACATCTGATTTCTTCTTAATTCATAACATTAAAAACAGCTGGAAGCTGATATCTTGAGAGAATAGACAGCACACTATATAAAACATTGAATAAAGTCTCTCAAATTTTAAGGTGCATAAATAATTAGAAATGCAGGTTTCTGGTCACACCCTCAGAAACTGATTCACTGGGGCTAGAGTAAGTCCTGGGACTCTCAATTTTCAACAAGTCCTAGGAAATTCTCTTGTAGATAGTCTCTGAACTACACTTTAAAAAACATTGGTGTGGGGCCTCCCCAGTGGCGCAGCGGTTGAGCAGTGGGTTGCGAAGCTGCCCAAAGCCTCTGCAGCACCGGTTCGATCCCCGGCTGCTCCCTGGCCACCGGAGGAGGGACCCGCATGGCGCGCAGACCTCTCTGCCGCCCTGCTCCCCTCAGCAGTGTACTTCGGTCCTTCTGCCTGTTTGCTCCCCAGTCTGGCTCTGGTGAATTCTCTCACCCTCCCTCACTTCTGACTGTACCAGTGCTTGTATAAATAAATAAAATCTTTAAAAAAAAAATAAAATAAAAATAAACATTGGTGTGGATATTATAAGATCTGTAAATAAAAAACAGTATGAATAGCATGAATTGATAGCACTGAGTAGTAATGCATGTCCGTAAATAAAAAACAGTATGAATAGCATGAATTGATAGCACTGAGTAGTAATGCATGTCCATAATTCAGCTGATTACCAGGTATTAGTAACTAATATACATCACTTATTACTAAACAACAGGAATAATTCTCCTCAAATGTTAAAGCTAAGAAGATACATAGTCTCAATATAACAAATGCTACCTTTGAGGGCCTCCCTGGTGGTGCAGGGGTTAAGTCTCAGCACTGTGAAGCTGTCGGCAGCCACTGCAGCACAAGTTCGATCCCCCAGCCAGGAAGGTGACCCACATGGCACAGCAGACCTCTCATGTCTCGCTCGCTAATCCCTCAGCAGCATATTTCAGTAGATCCGCTTGTTCTGCTCCCCAATCTGTCTCTGGTGAATCCTCTCACGCCCCTTAGCTCTAGCCTACACCCCAGCTCTTGTATGCATAAATAAATCTATCTTAAAAAGCAAATGTTACCTTTTAATCATTTCTTTATTAATTCATTCAATTAACATTTATTAAGAATTGATATATATGCCATATATATATTTAAACACTTTGCTTAAATAGGATATTATTTAAGAAGGTAAAATAGTACAATGCATTTTAGAATGGTTTTTTATGGTTAAATGGATAAACTTCAGTTATCTGAAAGATTTACTTACATGGAAAATGTCCTTTATTGATTGTTCAGATAATTGAAACTTAGCTTCCCTGATATTAGGCCATATAATGTAACTTAAATTGAGCTCTTTTCAATTATTAAACCCCTTAGGCAGAGTTCAATATTTATCTGACTTATATTCAATCATTATATATTGTAATAAGATACAATCTTAAGAATATAAAGTATTTTCTTTGGGATTCTATCTAATAATTAAGAAACAGCAAAGTTATGTTATCCCCATATTCATGATCAGTGGATGTAATTTGGATTGTTTTTGAGTTAACAGTGTGTTCAGTCAAGCTGTCCAGAACCAGCCCACACCTGCGCAGCCAGGAGTGTACAACAACATGAGCATCACTGTGTCCATGGCAGGGGGAAACACAAATGTTCAGAACATGAACCCAATGATGGGCCAGATGCAGATGAGCTCTTTGCAGATGCCTGGAATGAATACTGTGTGCCCAGAGCAGGTAAGTGGCACAACTGGCACATTTGCTACACACACACACCCCACCACACCACAGTTCCTTATTTTAAGGAAAATCAAGTGTGTTGATAGTCACTCATCAAAAATAACCACACTTCTTTATTCTCCCCACTATCTTTTGATAATTACTATCCCTTAAGATAAACAATGGAAATTTTGGCAAACGTTCTAAGATTTTGGTTTCATGGATTTATTATAAAATGATAGATATGATAAAGACACATCACCCAAAGCGGTGATCGTGAAGGCAAAGATAAACAGCTGGGACTACATCAGATTAAAGAGCTTCTGTGCAGCAAAAGAGACAATAACAAAAACAAAGAGACACCCCACTGATTGGGAGAAAATTTTTGCACACAACACTAATGATAAAGGACTGATCACAAAAATCTACAAAGAGCTGATGAGACTCAACAAAGACAAAGTAAATAATCCAGTCAAAAAATGGGCAGAAGAGCTAAAAAGAAACTCCTCCAAAGAGGAAATGCAAATGGCCAACAGGCATATGAAAAAATGTCAAAATCACTTGTAATCAGGGAAATGCAAATCAAAACTACAAGGAGATACCATCTTACACCAGTGAGAATGGCACATACTAAAAAAACTAGCAACGACAAATGTTGATGAGGATGTGGAGAAAAAGGAACTCTCCTGCACTGCTGGTGGGAGTGCAAACTGGTCCAACCACTATGGAGAGCTGTGTGGAGATTCCTCAACCTGTTAAAACGGAGCTTCCCTATGATCCAGCAATTCCTCTCCTAGGTATTTACCCAAAGGACACAGAAACATTAATTCAAAAGGGCACTTGCACCTCTATGTTTATAGCAGCACTATTTACAATAGCTAAGCTATGGAAACAACCCAAATGCCCAAAAACAGATGACTGGATCAAGAAGATGTAGTATATATACACAATGGAATATTACGCCGCAATCAAAAAAGATAAACTCAATTTGCAGCAACATGGATGGCGCTGGAAGGGATCATGCTCAGCAAAATAAGCCAGAAAGAAAAAGAAAAATAAGGGATGGTCTCACTCATAGCAGGAATTTAGAAAAACTAAATAAGGGACCAGGAAAAAGACTAATTATAATAAAGTAAAAATCAAAATCAACAAGCAACTATAAACCAGAGACACACTATAGTGGGGTGTGGGGGAGGGAGGGAGTAGGATCAAAACAAGGCGGGTGGGAAATGTATGGGGACTATAACCAAGATGAAATGCATACATTGTGCAAAAATGAAAAATGATGTAAAAAACATATAAAATTTTAAAAATGGAAAAAAAATGATAGACATGATGCATTCATTGGCTTTGGACTTCACCCCTTTGTATTCTGAATGCATATGCATATTCTTCAATTCTCCCTTTAAATCAACAAGCATTTATTACCATGCACATAGTGTTCTATGGTAGATACATATTAACAAGTTGGGGAGACCAGTATGAACAAAGGACCAGACTAATAAGACAAAAAAACTGTGCAAGAGATGGACCCTCATAGGACCAGACATTTTTTATGTCCAATGAAGAGTATATACAACTAACTACTGAGGGTTTAAAGGAAAGTCTTCATGGAAATTTTCCCTAAATTAAGAATAGAAAAGAACATTCAAGACTGATTATCACAGCATGACTTAGGTAGGAATAGAGGCTAAAAAAATCTAATGACATAGGAATATTTATACATAGAACAATTTATGTGATAATAATTTGGGAGGTGTTGTAAGCTATCTACATATTTAAAGTTTATCATAGAACCTCCTAAAGATTTTTAGGAGGAAATGACTAAATTCAAAGTGATATTTAAGACGATTGGGGTTAAGACCCTATAGTTTACTGGTCTCACTCATAGCAGGAATCTAGAAAACTTAAATAAGGGACCAGGAAAATGAATAACTACAAGAAAGTGAAAATCAAAATCAACAAAAAATGACCAGAGACACTTTTAGGGGGCGGGGGTGGGAGGGGAGGGATTGGGGTCAGAATGGGGGGGCTGCAATTGTAGGGGAATTAAATAAAATTTATTTAAAAAAAAAAAAAAAAAAAAAAAAAGACCCTATAGTTTACTGTTCTCATTATCAGCAGCCACAAAGTAGACTAGTAAACAAAGTAGTCACTGTGGTGACGAGGCTATCACCATGTAGCCTTAATTTATAGCAAGTCTTAAAAGTCAGTATAAATACTGTTTACCTTTTGTGTAGAACTCCTTTTTGATAAGAAATTTTAGGGAAAAAAAATATTTCCCAGGTATCATTTAGTAAGTCTAAGAAAGTTAGCAGGATAAAACCAACAACTTAAGTGATCCATATCTTTTAGCAAAATGAAAGAACTAAGTAGTATTGTTTCTTGCCCTTATTATCTTGTTATTTAGTTATAAGAATTACTATCTCCAGGAGATTAAAACAAAATGATAAAAAATATAATGAATTATGTAAAGGAATATTACATTTAAAGTGCATTTATAGTTAGGTCTTGCTTTTTTTTATTCAGTTTGACAATTTCTGCCTTTTAATCAGAATAGTTGGCTCAGTTACATTTAATGTGATTATTGATACAGTTGAATTAAAATCTCTGCTCTTATTTTCTCTTTGGCCCAATCTTGCCTCATTTTGATTTAATTGAATATTTTAGTTTATTTTATCTGTTTTGGATCACTAGCTATTTTAGATCACTAGTTCTATTTTATAGTTGCTTTAACATTTCTAGTATACATCTTTAACTTATCACAACCTTCAAGTGGTATTATAGTACCTCATATGTAATATAAGGATCTCACAGCAATTTATTTCCATTTCTCTCTTCCTGTGCTATTATCATACATGTCTGCATGTATCATAAACCCCACCATATATCATTAGTATTTTTAGTTTAAACAGTTAGGTATATATTTTTTTAAGTAAGAAGTCTCTTGCAGTTATAAAAGTAGCTCTTCATTCCTTTGTATAGATCCAAATTTCCACCTGCTATCACTTTCCTTCAACCTTAAATTCTTCATTTAAAATTTTTCATAGTAAGTCTGATGAATTCTTTCAGTTTTTTTATGTCAGAAAATGTCTCTGTTTCACTTTCATCTTTGAAAGTTCTTTTCTCTGAATTTTAGGTTGACGTTTTAACTTTCAATACTTTAAAGATGTTGCTCCACTGCAATATTTCTGATGAGATAGTTGCTGTCATTTTATCTTTGTTCCTCTATACGTGATTGATTTTTTTTCCCCTCTTTGACTGCTTTTAAGATTATTTTCGTTGCCACTGGTTTTGAGCAACTTGATTAATATGCCTTATGTGATTTTTTTCTTGTGCTTGGCATTCATTGAGCTTTTTGATTTATGGGTGTATAATTTTCATGAAATTTGGGGTTAATGTTGGCCATTATTTCTTTAAATACTTGTTCTGTTACTATGCTCCTCTTTTCCATCAGATTTTCCAGTTGCATGTATATTAGGCCACTTAAAGTTCTATATCTCACTGATTCTTTTGGTTTGGGGGTTTTATTTGAGTGTCTGTCTGCAGGATCAATCATTTTTTTCCTGCGTGTTTCATTTCGGGTAGTTTCTACTAATCTTTATTTTTTTAAGATTGATTTATTTATGCATACAAGCACTGGGGTACAGGCCAGAGATGCAGGGGTGAGAGGATTCACCAGAGATAGAGTAGGGAACAGAACAGGCAGACTGACTAAAATACACTGATGAAGGGAACGGCGGGCAAGACTGGAGAGGTCTGCTTCGCCATGTGGGTCACATCTCTGGCCGGGGCTCAAACTCGTGATGCAGAGGCTGCAAATAGCTTTACAGTGCTGTGCTTAACCCCTTGCACCACCAGGGAGACCCTCTACTAATCTTTTCTTTTGCATTATTTTGTCTGTTAATTTTTTTCATCCCACATATTGCTATTTTCATCTCCAGTAGTTCAATTTAGACTTTTTAATATCATCTATGTCTCTAATGTGTTCAATCTTTCCTCTGTCTACTTGAACACACAGAATAGTTATTATACTAGCATTATTAATATCCTTGCCTGTCTATTCTATCATCTGCATCAACTGGGGGTTGGTTTCAACTAATTGCCTTTTCATTAGGAGTCATATTTTTCTGTACTTTGAGTGCCTGGTAATTTTTTTGTTGGAGGCCAGAGGTGAATTTTACCTTGTTTATATTCTATTAATATTCTTTTTTTTTTTGTTAGTTTTCATTTGATTTATTTTTTATATTAATTTTTTATATTTTTACATCATTGTTCATTCTTAAACAATATTTGCTTCCCCCCACCCCCTCAGGTATAGTCCCTATAGAGTTTCCTTCCCCAGTGCACCCATGCACCATCACCTCAGTCCCCTGTGCTCCTCCCTCTCTCCCTCTGATCCCTCTCCCTCCTCCTCCCCTGCAGGATGTCTCTGATTTATAATTGTCCGTTTTTGCTTTGTTGTGTTTTGTACTGTTGTTTTTTTTTTTTTAACACGGATGCCTTATTTGGTTCTCCTATATTCCTGCTATAAGTGAAACCGTCTGAAATTTTTCTTTTTCCTTCTGGCTTATTTCACTGAGCATAATTCCTTCTAGTTCCATCCACGTTGCTGCGAATGGCATGTTTATCTTTTTTGATTGCTGAATAATATTCCATTGTGTATATATACTACATCTTCTGGATCCAGTCATCTATTTTTGGGTATTTGGGTTGTTTCCAGGTTTTACCTGTTGTAAATAGTGCTGCAATAAACATAGGTATACAGGTGTTCTTGAAGTTTGGAAGTGTGATACCCCTTTCTCCTTTGTTTTCATCAGTAGAGCTTTGGCTATTAGTGGTTTTTTGTGCTTCCATATGAATTTCATCAGTATTCTATTTCTTTGAAGAATACCATTGAGATTTTTATTGGAATAGCATTGAATCTATATATTGCTTTTGGTAAGATGGACATTTTAATAATGTTAATTCTTCCAATCCTTGAGCAGGAGATGTCTTTCCATTTCTTTGTGTCTTCT